TTGTTTAATTTATGTGTAGTATTTTTAGTCTTTTGCAGATATTGTTCTCAAGAGATACCTGACATTTACTATCTTGCCGTTTGTTTTTGATTACGATGTCGATGCATGCTTTTCTTCAATTACATGTTATCACTTATGGGTTTCCATTTTTCCACCTAATCTTATTGCCGATCTAATTGTTGATCTGCATGCTATTTCATTAGCTCGTCTAACCCATTCACGAGGTGTCCATTGTCTTCGAAAACCTTTTCTTTTTGTTTTTCCCACTTAACCTATCGTAATTTTTGTTTCGCGGCCATATCTCTCTTTTGAATCATGCCATTTGCTAACTCTATTAGCTCTCTTTACTTCGACATAATTGGGCTAGTTGTAAAGATTGGTTCATAATTCCCCACAATTTAGGATAACCAGAATATTTCGAAAACGCGGTATTTTTATTCCTACATATTATCCAATGGAATCTCTTTCTGTTAGCATTATTTAAAATCATTTTCTTCATTCAGTTTTGTTAACCTTAATAGGAATTCTGCAGTTATTTGTTCGATATCATCTGTTAGTAGACAAGTTTTTGCATTAAATGGGTAATGTGTCTGTTGTATTTTGTGAGTGCCTTTCGATTCACTAAATTTCTGATATTTTAAATGCTATCAATCGTCTGGCCTCAGTGACAAGCAGCTGATAACATGCTTATTTGTCAGATCCAAAGTTAGTTGACGTCTTTGTGTATATTATTGTATAGGAATGTTTACATTAAATGTGGAAATTCCACGAAGCATTACGAAATCGCCTAGTCTACTACGCTATGCTTTTATCTATGTAAACTTCGAAAGCCTCTATTTCAGACTGCGAATCAGTGGATCTCTCAGAGAAGAGATGTAACGATCTGAATACAATTACGAGTCTCATCAAGTCCTTTCTTCGTCAACTCCCGATTCCTCTCATCACCTACGAGGCCTATCCCGAACTGATTGATATTGCCCGTGAGTTAATACCCATTGACAGCGCTACCTTTTTTTGTTAAACTCTGTATGCCGTTCAGAGATGAAACCCTAGATATTTTTGTTAAGCTATTTTAAATTTTTGTAGCGAAACAGTAGTTGTGGTAATAGCCTCTAATTTTTGTAAGGCGTCTTGGTGATATATGGTTATTTATTCGCAAAACAAACTCCTCTTTTTATGTTTGGCGTTTGTTGCTAAAAAATCAAAAGAAGCTGACCACGTTTTGCAAAGGAAAACATTGACTTAACTTCTTCGGAGTTATTGTTTCTTCAAGTGACTCGGTGGCACCGATATATTTAGGCGCCTAGGTAGTACTGGCAAAAAGGCGAGATGGACTCTTTCGAAGTGCCTTGTTGTATTGCCATCCTATTTGTTTCCTCTCTATGAACCGACTGCCCTTTGAAAATTGTATTTTACTGAGCTCACTGTTGACTACTTCAACATTTCCCGCTCCTTTTTTTCTGGAATCGTTTTGTTGATTGATGGGATAAACTGTCTGTTTAGAAGAATCAAGCCTTTTCCATGAGTGTAGTAGATGTCGGATGTGTAATAACTTAGTTTAACACCTTTCGATTGTTATCGTTATTTTTTGTTTGATTGAAACAAACCGAATCTCCAATGGCGATGAGACGTCGTCGAAGTTTTCTCTAACTCCGGAATTCGAAATGCCATTGTTGTTTGTCAACAGGTCAATTTTCCGAATAAAATAGGTATAGATAATTCGCTTTTTTCTTTTTGGTCTTATAAGAATTTTACCACCTTTATGCTAATGGACACTTCCGATTTTACGTCGAGTATGTCAATGTGCTGTCAGTGAGTTTTCCTACACTCATGTTAGTGTGGCGGCAAAGTCCTACCACCTGTACCCAGACGTCTCTTTTTCGGGATTAATTACGAATGAGCAAAGGAGAAACAAAGCGAGGTGATTGGGACGTTTGTGCAATTATTCCTGCTTTCTCTGCGAGATCTAGCCGGTTAGCGTGCATGCGGTGGTTATTGTGCGCCTTTTTCGCACAAATCTGCTGTCTTTGGGTGTGTTTTCTTTTTCATCTGTTTGTTAACTTCTTGCGAAAAAAAAATATTGGAGCCATGCCTCCTTTTCGTTTGTCACTTAGACTGACCTCGCCGATGCACCCCTGAAATGCAGTTTTTTCTTGGCACCAATTTTGCTAGTGTGACTGCTTTAGCGGCTGAAAATAGACTAAGAAATATGCCAAGGTGTGTTTAAGTAGGAAATGTCTTACCTATGCCACATTTGCGCTGACATTTCCTATCTTTAGTGTCAAAAGATGCTGTTTCACTAAATGTCTTCTTCGTGATACCTCAAAAGTAATTCATTCTCGTATTCCGCGCTCTTAAGTAGTCGGTTTTTTAGCACAATGCTGGGGTTCATGCATTTTCTCCATTCCTTCCACAAAAGGCATAATATGTCTGACGATTTGACTTTGTTGCATCACGTGGTAATTTGCGCATTGCCATGGATGTCTGTGCCTTTTTGTTTTTGATACGCGTTCATTGAATTTTGTGGTTCGAAACTGTAAAATTGCTTCACTAATCAGCTCCATTCTCTATTCATTCTTTGTTCACATGTGCTTTCCTACATCACTATTGAATCATCCTCCGAATTTCTTCCCCCCACGTAATTGAACATCATTTCCGCAGTTGCTTTTTTGTGTGTGCATATTCTAGATGTATTTGTTCACACAGAACCGTTCTTGAAGGATCTGTTAGTCGGCGTGTCTTGTCTTTCCAAGTCATGCATGCACATCGTCCCGTCTTGTTACTTACCCATGTAGGTTAGCTGTAGCGCTAATTCATTTTTTTAGCTGTTACGTATGTACCGCGTCGTCAGCTGAAACAGGCTTTTTTGTGGTGATGCTAGTGATGGTGTAACAGTGCCATATCGTTTGTATGTTGTCGACTGAAGCTGATACACCTACTGAAATTTGCTTCGATTTTTCTACTTTCTCCTCCTCTGAAAACCGTTTAAGTGATACAGAAAGTCAAATTGTGGAAATCGACTGATTGGCACACTTGTTTTGATGTTACAGAAGCTTTGCGAAAAACACTAAATCTTCTCACCCATGTATGCGTGTGTGCGACTTTGATCGCTTAATCCCGCGTGAAGTGGAAGGATTCTTTTAATCCGCTTTGCATTCCCTCTGTGCTGATGCATTCCCACATTTGATTATTTTTGCCCATTACATATAGTCAGTAGGTGAATCTAAATCCAATGCTTGATGAATTATAACGTTGCGTTCATCTTTCAACGCAACGGACTCTCCTTCATTATTATTATGGGCAATTGGTCTCGAAATCATAACTTTTAAAAATAACAATAAATTATTACTGTGAAGATAGGATTCTTCCTGTTTGGATTTATTAAAAGAACGTAGATTTGTTTGCTTCAACTCTAACAAAAGTCGGTACCAAATGGTTCGATATAAACAATGGGGGATCGGTGGGCTTAGTAGGTGCCCTCTGGGCTAATGCATATCCATGCTCTCGTCGTAGGCACTGTAGTGTGTCATTTAACTGGATTTCGTATAGCCGAGTTTGAATCTCCTTTTTGATCTTGAAAATAGCCAGAATTCATTGTGTACAAATGTCTCCGAATGCTTAATATTTTTTGCACCTACCGTAAAATCGGTAGACGTCCTCTTATTGCTCCCTCTCTCTGTATCTCGATGCCCGATTAGATGACGAGGTGTAATCATCCCTGGCATCGCCGTCGAGCTGTTGCTGTCACCTAGTTCTTGTGCGCGTGTGCGCTTTCATGTACGTGTACACCGTTAGGCGCGCCTCCTCTTGTCTAAATTAGTTGATGGGTAACATGCCAACCAGTCAGGTGGGTCCTGTTCTACAAATCGTACATTTCATTCAAAATCACGCAATCACTAATCTTTTGACAATCGTTCAAGCAAAAAACCCACTCATTCCTCATTGGTTCTATGATTGCTCAGATTGGAGCTGGAACCGCAATTTGGGCGATTTACTGAGCCTAGTTTTTATAATTTGTTTTCCGTCCGAAATATTGTCCCATGTCTCACAAAGATTGGTGGGGATCTATGAGGCACCGCCTATACTAACGCTGCACATTCAATAGCCGACTGTTGGCTATCTGGTAGTTTACGCGGTGACTTACAGGCTCGTTGTTGCATTCTTGTAGGCGATGAACAACTCTCAGAGGAGCAGAAACACGACTTTTTCAAGGGATGCATCCAACGGCTTCCATCGGCCCACTACTACTGCCTCCGGTACTTGATGGCCCACTTGAACAGGTATTGATAAATTGTTCTCTTTCTATAATCGAGCAAGCCATTGTTTGCACACAAAGCTCCGAAGTTGCGAACTAACCCTAGTTTGTTCCTCATACCTATGAGGTACATGAGCGTTGGACTCAGCTTGCGAACGGCTTTGACCTTCAAGATATGCTGTTACATCATTTGTCATATCATTTTCAAGCACCGAATTTCTACCGCCTTTATAGGAGAGCTTTCTCCTTCGGCAATACTCCCTAGACTGGTTTAATTCATTCTACATTTTTCGATGGAAGTTGGCACTGTATTGGTTCTCCTGGTTGCTAATAATCAAGCTTTGGGCATTTAGCTGAATCTAAGAAATTTACTGAGAGTATGTTCAGTGGCCTTTTCGAATACCTTAGACCTAGTGCTTTAATATAATCGACTGTGGTAGGGCACTATTGGTTAAGCAACATTAACACATTCTAGACTATTTGTAAACATTACATCCATAGTTTATCAATGAACTGAGAAGCCTTTGCATTGCTAGAGTTGCGGAACACCAGCGCGTGAACATGATGTCGTCGGAAAACCTGGCCATCGTGTTTGCGCCCAGTCTGATGAGCTCCTCTTACACAGACCCACTGAGTTGTCTGGCGGGGGCCAAGTTTGAGCAGGCAGTAGTTATTAGACTGATCACGGACTTTCCCACCATCTTTGATGGCGACGATTGTGTACCCAGCGCACCTCCCTCCTCTTCCGCCTCGACTACCACCTCCCGCTCGACCAATGCCTCCTTGCGCTGACTTTTATCTTTTCCCCTTTTGTACAGTTTTCCCTTACCCCTCAAATCCGGCTACCTCATTTGACCGGATCTTACGCGCAAGTACTCTGGAAGTACAAACACTACTACCGTTGCTGCTGCAGAAATTACTCACAAACCATCCTCTTCTTCCCTAACAGTCTTTCAAACAGATAAATCATTTCAAGTCCCCTTGACTCGACGCTCGACCTGTTTGTACAACTTTATGGGTTATTTGACTAAATCCTTCCTCTCTTCATCTCTCCCGAATGTACTACTCTCAAGTAGCTTCCTACTGTACGATCAATTGTTTCTGCCCATCGGCTGAAATGTTCTGTTAATTTCACATTATTATTGGTAGTAAATTTTGCTGGGAATAACGTGTATTAAAACACACGAACAAACAGTACTTTGTCTTCACACTTTTGCCTTGTTTATCTCCAAAATGAGGTACCTGAGTGTGGTGTTGGTGAGGATCATGTGGAGGTGAAGATCCGCACCTGCTACAATCGTTATTGCAGGTCACCCACGTTGAATATCTTCATGTGCTTCACTTTTTCCTGTTATTAACTATCACCCATCCTGCCTAGGGTGTGAGCCCCTCTCGTGTACCGCCTAACGTTGGGTCGTTCAATGAATCCCAGGATTGTGTTTAACTAAAGTCGCCGGCACACTGATGATGAGATGAGCCAACGCTGATAGTGTGGCTTCATGCAGGGGCGAGGACCATTTACGTGTGTGTCACGGAACGCTGGCCTTGTCCATCACCCACGGTTCAGCCCCCAATCTGGTGCTGGTGGCATCGAGCTTCAAACATGCGTTCATGCTACCAGTCTTGCAGCCGCCCAGACACGTTTGTCTTATCATACCGAACACTACAAGTATGTCATCGTTACCAGGGGCGGAAATGGATGCCTGTGAATTATTGTCTGCTGCCTTCAAGATAACAACGAGAGTAGGAAATCGACGCTTTAATGTTGAGAGGTCGATTAAACAGAAACAAACACCCTCACATTTCACCACTATCATCCTTTATCAACCTCTTCCCAGGGGAAGGTAAGCCTTCAAACTGCGCCTGCTATATTTAAGAACGCATTGCATGGGAAATCACACCCTTAGCATCTGTGCTAGACTTCGTAAATGCCATCAACGCTTACTTTTGGGAAGGAAAAAAACGGTACGAGGAGTGGAAATGATAGCCACCCATTCCCCACATTTATTACAAGCGTGGGAACAAAACTCTCTATTCCCCATCTGGAAGGGTATGTGTGCATTTTCACCGAATGATTCCCATTTTTATCGTGGGTATGATTGGTAGCTTAGCCTCTCCGAATTTCCGGTGCTGTAGTCAGCATAGTTACCTTGTTTGGTGAAAAATCGAGCAATTTTTAGCATCTTATTTGAAACTGCATTGGATGCTTCCTAGTGAATCCTCCTTGTTCACTCACACAAGGCCGATTGTCATGGAAACACATTGTCTTCTTTTGATCCTGAAAGTAACAAACAATTAGGAATGGTATTGCTTCGCTCCATACCCGATAAGAGATACATTCGGAGGTGTTCCATTGTTGAAAACACCATCTCGTCTTTGATGGGTCTCCAAGTTCCGCATGGGCCACCGTTTGCACACGACCGGCCGACCGACTGAAGGGTCTGATTTCGAGGTGTGTCCACCATTCGGTGCAGTTGCATAGCTCACGTCCAAAAAGGAGATTGCCGGCGGAGTTGGAGGAGGGATGGTGGCGAGACAGAGGAGATATTCAACCAAATGACTAATCTGCCACAAGGCTTAAATAACCAATCTCACCCAAAACCAATCACGCATTGAATAAGAATGCACCATTGCTGACTCCCGTCTACTCCAGTGGTTCCTCGTATACTTTCCTCTGCATCAAGCTTCCTTCTGCACACCGGTAGAGTCGATAGAACTGACAGTTGGAATTTGTCAGGAAATCAGAAAATGCCAGAGGAAATCGACTGAATGGAAAGCGGAGTAAGGGAACTCTTAAATGTGGTTTTTTGTAAAATAGCATCGAATTTTTCACAAAAGCTGAAATATAAGGTTTGCAATACTAGAGACGCTGCTTATCAATGCTGTCTTCCCAAAATGGACGATTTTACCCTTGTGTACTTTTCCAACCACGGTAACCAGACGGCGCACTTTCTTTCTATGAACCTGTGAAACACTTAATTCTAAGCTGTTTGATGAAAAATAGAGCGGTATAAAGATGGGGGTGTTTCGGGTGGGGTTTAGTCAGTTTCGTCCCCCACCATCTTTGCACTGGGCGGAGGAATTAAAGGTAATCCAACTTCCTTATCTATGGATGCAAAAATAAGGCAAAGTAATGGTAGAAGAAAGACATAACCTTACGAATACACTTCACAGGTGGTACAGACATTTACGTTTCTTGGTTTTGGATTCCAATCGAACCAACTTCACATCCACATTGTAAATGTCAAACGGCTGCTCCAGATGAATCCCAAAATTGTTGATTTTAAAATGAAAGAGGGTGGAGAAAATCAGATAAAAAATTACGTAAGGGGCCATTAAATCACAAGATACTATTGTAACCTAAGGCTATTAAACAAACGGGTTTCTGTTATCTTCCTAAAATGGGCAATTTTTAGATAAAGGGACTCATTTTGTCATCTAATTAAATGATTTCCAACTGCTTTGGTAAAGTTAATTGGTAGAGGTACATTCCGAAACTGGTAGGTAAAATAATGTGTTAAATATGGCACAAAGGTCAACGTGTTGAGGGTTTTGGCTTTTGGGAATGCAAATGCGCAAAAATACTTCTGGGAGTAAACAGCCAGTTGAAATGCCCAAATTGGGATCGCCGAATGATTCATCGCTTACACCTACTTAACATGAATCTCAAACCACGGCACACTGAACAGGCCTTGGAATTGGCAAAGCTTTTAATTAAGGAAATGGTATGCTTTAAGTCTACTTTAGGGAGTATTTTTACTACACCGATTGAAACGGTACAAAAAGTTATGTATATAGGCATACTTGGAAGGGCATGAATTGAGCAGTATCGCTAGAGAAGGCTTACGCAACTCGACTCAATGTTGATACCTCAGTCCATTACGCAAACACGCATCATAGAAATATATTTTTTTGAATAGGTAATTTACGGGTCCGTAAAGTCGCGTTAGAGAGTGACCTAACACAAGGTTGGATAACCTTAACGAATTTTAAGTGCTGATTCCAAGTCTTTAACGAAAAGATTTCGCTTTCTATCTATTACTACCTCTAGTTGGAGGAAGGTGCGCTTATCTCAGTGCTGATGACGACGATGATGAGAAGTCATCGTCCCACTGTATTACTCACAACGGACGTAGGAAGAAGGAAGTGAGTGAAAAGTTGGTGGGGTTTTCTGTGGGAAGTGACGCGCGGGAGGCTCCTCAGCGTGGACATTCCAATGGGAAATTGAAACTGGATAATCTCATTGACAGCCTTAGTCACCCCGATTTAAAGATGATGACGGTGCTAACACTCATTTCGGGGATCACACATGACTGCTGACAAGATCAACAAATTATATTTTGACCATTTGAACGTAGAATTTTAACTTTAAGGTTTCCAAAACTATATTAACAGTGAAATAGTGAAACAGGCTTAAAGAGATCGCTGTTTTCCCCAATAGGGTAGGCTAGTCTTATAAGGTGAATTATTGTAATTTCGATATCATTAGAAACGAACTTGAAGTTAAGTGTATAAGCTCATAAAGCAATCTTAGTCTTTGCCTGAGATGGCGAATTCATTGAACTCGGTGACGCGGCAATGGCACCGAATCACTGCTCCATCTCATCTTGCACCTGATTGCGAGTTCCAAGTTGTTACTTATATAAATTAAGTAAAATGTATTCCTGCAGGAAACGGGGTAGTTAGCATATCTGCAAAGGTCCCGACATTTTAGCAGACAGGGAATATAGGTGACAAAATAGCAACATAAGTTTTTTGATTAATATTAAATTTGTTGATAAACCAGGTAAGCTTTCAATCCACCATTTATGTTATTGCTAATTTTTTAAAAATCTAGGGGATAGAAATAAACGCATTTAATTTCGCTCTTATCGGAACTATTCTTGAGCACATAGCTTCCAGTAATATACGATTCGTGGCAAAGATAATACCGAGCATTACTTTCATGCACTTGATGTGTTTCATTTATCTCAGGCTAGGAAAAAGGGTGGCCGAATTCAAGGCGGCATTGAATCTGCTCACTGCAATGCCAGTGTGAATTTAAAATCTTCCTGTTTATGGGTTGTTTGCTTTTAAAGATTAAGAATGACACCAAAAATTGGGAATAAGATGTACTATAAAGTAGAAATTTACAAATGTATGCCCGATATCTGCAGGCCGGCCACATACATCCGAATTGAAATTTCGACCGACCATAGACGCATTTGAATAAACACATGGACGATTCATGCTGCTATAGTGGTCTTTGAGATTTGTTAAATGCCCGAGTGATTTAAGTCTACTAGAATTATCACCAACTACACCCACTGATGGGACTTTCACGCAATAACTAACAAAGGCTTTGGCTATGCACACTTCAACCCTTCAAGCGGAATGCAATTCCGTCGTATTTTAAGTTCTTCAATATCAAATGACTATGAAATTGGGCCGTATGAAGGTATATCGTAAACGTTTGAAATGCACATCTGGGGAACAAACTTCCCTAGACCCATAAATAAGATTTGTGAAAGTGATTGCAGATAGATACCTGGGTTGTAGTAAGATGACGTTCATAATTTATGCGCAAACTTCAATTTGACATTAGAAACTACATAATTAATGAGTTAACTACTGGATTATTTTCCGTTTTTGCACGATTTTGCCTCCTTGACTGAGGCTGCTTTCAATCCAATAAATTATACTGAACATCAAAACTGGAGCAAGAGCCAATGAAAGGTATTTACTAGCGAAAAGGTGTTTGTTAGCCAGTTTAAAGAATCAGGGCTTAGAGGTTTGCAGTCGATTGTTGGTGAAGAAGTGGGGGATGTAGGAGTGAGATGAAGACGAAAGACTCCTACTTCCTTGGAACGCCTAATTCATCGTTACGGATTTTGGCGGCTTCGACACAGGCACTGAAAGCAGCACGTACACCGGCTTTCTCCAAAGCAAAGGTCCCCGCGATGGTGCTACCACCTGGAGAGCATATTTGATCCTAAAATGTGAGACTCCGTACTATCACTTGCTGAAAAATATCAAAGACAGTAATGATTCCCCTTCGGTTAAATTTAACTGAGACTATAACCCTAGAAACTAAGGTACAATGACGGAAAAATTTCCCATTATTACTTATTGAAACAAAGCTTCTAGGCGAATATTCTGGACTACGTACGTTTTATGGTATGAAAAGCAAACGTTTCATAAAATCATACTTCGGTTAGTTTAAATCGCTAATATTTGATGCTAACCAAAAACAGCATTAGGATTAATATAGAAATCTTTTGCACACTGGCAGGTCACACACTAACTATAGTATCTGTAAAAACTGGTAATAAAACGGTCATTGTTTCGATAGGTACCTTTGACTTAAAACACAATCAGATATGGAACAACAAATCACGTGTTCTGACAAGCTATGGTATCCTAAACATCCATGCCTGGGCGACCGGATGCTGGCGGTTACAAATCAAAATACCATATTGCAAACAGACCCTCAATTGAGCCGGGTGGAGTCCAGAGTCGCGAGCCAACATTGCTGTACCGAGAACCGTTTGCACAGCCAGTCGGTGGGCCATGTCACGTGTCATGCCAAGACGCACAGCTCCGTCAGCGAGGCTCTCAATCACTAGACAGACCTGTGGGGAGCGAAGACATCAGAGCATCATATACCTATTTAACCTACGAACTGCCCCAGACTGCATATCTTACGTAGGCAGGCCCACAACCGGAGAGCGCAGTGGCAGCGTTGAATTGGTACTGGGGGATCTCCTCAAGAACAGGAATGATAACAGAGAGGAGGGTCTTCATGAGGTGGACGTCCGCATCACTAGCACAATGGCCGCGAGCGAAGATGCCTGCGCCCTGCTGAACCAAACAGGGCATATTGGGCATCACTCGGATGACGCGAGTGCCTATCGGTAGGGCCTACAGTGAAATAGTAGAAGAGAACAAGCATAAGCTACCTCAAACAATTCACTTGACGCAAGTCCTGTATGAAAACGACAATTATGTGGCAAAAGACCAGTTTACAAAGTGGTTGTTAATTAAGGCACAATCAGATTGGTGGAAGTAGGCTGAATCTCACTGAATCGCTACTATGAACGCACGGCTGGGACATCGAGAATAGGGAGCTTGGCAGAAGAAAATGATAGTGAGAATGAGGCGATGAGTGGATACCTCCTCTAGATTTTCAATTGTGATGCCAGCGGCAATCGAGACGACTAGCTTGTCAGCCATCACGCCGGCGCATTCACTCAGCACTATCTGAACCATGTTCGGCTTCACACATAGGAAAATGACATCACTCTTGGCAGCCATTGGAACGTTCTCGGTGAGGTATTCAACACCGAATTTCTAAGGAAATTCAAGGACAAGTGAACTCACAAAGTAGTGTGAAATTACCGTCATGCAAATTGCCACCCCAGAATTAAATAAAAATGCAAGCACAAACTTAATAAGTAGAAAATATGACAATTAAGAGACCAAAATGCCTTACTTACTTCTATAATGTCTTCGAGGGATTTAAAGGCCTGAAGCAGAAAATCAATATATAATTTTCAGCACTCAAAACACGTCATCAAAAGGCAAACTTACTGGCTGTCCTGGTTTCACCTTGTCAGTCATCGTAACCTGAGACCCTTTGATGAGACCTAAGGTTGTTAGAATTATTAGGGAAGCTGGAAGAAGAATCCAGAGGAACGCAATAAGCGATCATAGAATTCAATTGCACGCTCGCAGATTTCCAAAAAAATCAACAAGCAATAGGTGCTGAAAAAATATCAGCCTTAGACAGAGTCAAATAAAAAACATTCCACATGTCAATAAACACATAGCACTATCACCTAACTTTGGCCAAAAAATAGCGCAAAAACTAGTACCAAAAAAATAATTATAGAAGTGGTTTCCAATTGTTGCAAATATAGGGGTACTGAAGGGTTACCAGAATTAAGAAGACCCCTGATAATCCCTTGAGCCATCAGTCCAGAGCCAAGGAACCCAATGTGGCGGTCAGCGACGACTTTTTGGACATCAACACTGTCGCATGCGGCCATGATTGCGAGTGACAATACTACAGAATGAAGCCTCAACGTAAGAGAGGAACTCCAAAAGGAAAGCGCCAATAGCAAACACAAAACAATTATCTTACAACGCTTAAATGCTAAGTACTAAAAAAGAGATTGAGATTTAACAGACTGACGACCATGTTGCTAACGAAGTCCTAAAGTAACTCCCAAAAGAGCGCGAAGCAACCAAGCTAAAGCAAAAGAGTAAGAACTAATTGGAAGTAGACCTACGGGCCAAGAGGATATAAACTACGGCATGATGACTTATACTTCTAACATAAGCCCCTGATATAATAGCGAAGTTGTAGCATATTTTCACAAAATCTGGGAGAAGTTGGCCAGATTAACTGGAAAAGCTCACAGAAGTTAAACAAGTTCGACAATAGAATCGAAAGATCATAGGGTCAATCAACACCAAAACTCATCTACAACAGTAGCAGAGCAAAATGGGCAAAACCATTAGTGTACAGCGATTACTTCAACTAAACAAGTCAGGGTCATTTGGACTCAGCAAAAATATTCGTTAAAAACCGCCGTTGTAATTTTAGACGTCTCTTAAAGCCTATTTCCTTGTGACAATAATATAACTAGCTCTGTAGCTTAAATTCCTGGCCAAATTTTAAGTCGCATTCTTTTATTATACTCCTAAAAATGCTTTACAACTTTCTAATTAGATCTAAAAATACAAATTTTAAAAAATTATCACCAGACGGACTTGCGCAGGCGGGCCCCTTTGTATTTACCGGGCAGTTAATTTATCACTAAACAAACCCGCACACTAATGTAGCGTCCCTGAAGACGAAAGAAGACATACTACTCGGGCAGAATATGCATTCAGCGCAGAGAAGGTGTCTGGGCTACTGGCATGGCCGAAAGGCCAGCCCACCCAGCGAGATACAAAAGGGCTAATTCAAAGGTACAAAAGTGGCGCCTCACCACTACGGAGGGATAAACCACTATCGTATTGCACTTAATTACTGAAAGATTCTAATCCTGCCTTAAGTTAATTTAGACTAATCGTTGAGACTTTTCAATATGTGTCTGCCAATTTTCAAGCTCTACGCATGCCCTATCTGTCTCCAGGCGTTGGCAGTGTAGAGTCCCTAATTCCCCACCAAGCGGTAACAAGATAAGGTACTATGAATGTGCTTTTTATCATCATACATAAAAGTCAGGAGGCCGCTAGCGTGGTTTGGAGGCTACGCCACAGGAGGGACTTCCAACCTGCAGACACCGAAGAGTCCGTGTAGTCCAACGCCCGGTCAAACAAAATATTGTCATACATACTGTACTCGCTTCAAATTTCCCACCATCACCTTCCCACTCGAATAAGTATTTCAGGGTTATCGGTGCTACTTGTGATATTGCAATCCAAACCAATCTTGTTTAACAGCTACACCACTTAATTACTTAAGTTGGCACACTGAATACCAAAGCTTGGAACTATATCAGCATTTTGAAGGTTTTTATTGGAAGTGCAGGAAGAACTTGCACTATAACTAATTTAGTTTAAGATACTTCATTGAGTGGAATGTCAGTGCATTTAAAAGATATAAATTCTCATGGGATACCGCCATTACGTGGCCAATTCCTCCCTGAGGTCGTAATACGCCATACCTGTATGAAGATTTATTATTAACGCGCATAAAATGTGTAAGCGCCTGTGGACATGGGCGAGCGCTGAGCAGCATGACGAAGATTCGACCGAAGGAGTCTGAAATACCCTTATAATTGATGTTGAAGTTAAGTAGAAAGTTTGACTTTATAAACGAATAACATAAAACTGTACCTTTAATTTACAAATTCGGTTACTCTAATTAGACGAGGAGGGAACTATATGTACATATGGTGGCTTCTTCAAACTGATTTACTATACTACCCCAAGTCCTTACTTTATACAATCGATGCAATTTGAACATACCCTTTCAGGGACAAACAGTCAGCTTAAGCCGAAAGTATAGTGCCCCCAGACTTGTTTGAAGATGAAAGAAGACATAACACTCGGACGATTTATATATATTCTACGTACAGAAGATATTTGGGCCATTGGCATGGCCCAAAGGCCCACCTGACGAGGTACAACGGCCAAGACACAGTGGCCCTTTACCAACACCGACCGTTAAACAAACAGCCAACGCATTGCAGAAATTGTAGCTGATAAAAAGCCACCTTCTCTCGAGGGGGATGGTGGGGGAAGAACGCTGGTCTGTCGCAAAATCTTGTTAATCTATAGACACCCATACCACACAATATAAGATATCTCCTTTTAGCCACTCTTCCCGATTCAAAGGTGTGAAACTAAAAGTTGAGGTGAAAAACACGATATTGATTCCAGGGTTAGAGAACATTCCTTCCCTTACAGCAGACATTTGCTTCGACAAATGACGTTGGTATGCATGATTTGCTCTCTGGTTCTAACCTCAACAAATGAGACACCAGATCCTGCGCGAACTTCCTCAGAACCTATTCCCGGCCGTCGTGAATGTCTGGATAACTCCAGATACTAACTTTGAGAAATGGCTCAGCACTGACCCGGGGAGTCATCTCGCAGGAAGGACAGATGTTAGCCGAGGCATTATTCCAACCTGATGTGAAGATGTAATAAATGACGAGGAATATGGGAGGAACCTACAGGGACGACCTGCCACGAAGACACGGGGCTCCCCAACATATTGTAGTCGAAACACTCCGCAGTACTGACATTGGGTATTTTGGTGAGATGGTGAAGTTTGCACTGAAGAAAGACCAGGAGTCGGCTACTGCATTGCTTTACAACGCCAGAGTTGGCCGATCAAACACAGCATTCTTCTGCCGATTTACAATGTTGGTATAATCTGACCATAAGGTATGTACAAGTAAATAGCCACTAGGTATTTGATTTTCCAATTTAGCAATGAGGAAGCATGGGTGGAAAAGAAAATACGGACAGACAATTAGCAAGTATGCACATATTTTTGTGATAGCCGAATGCGCCCATTTTGATTAGCTATTAAGAATGGCCCCGGTGACAAGCCACTGGGTAAACCGACAGAAAGTTATCCCTTTGAAGTAAATTTTGGTAAATGGATATTCCGAGAACTTCTGACAGGAAAAATTTAATTGAACAATTAATCGTGGGCACTTTAATTATAGCGCCATTGCATTATAGGGGCCCCAACTCATTCGCACCAAGTGCATACTTTATTTAAGGGGAACGAAGTCACCTATGCTTTTCACTCTTGCGTTGTGATACTTTGTTTTCTTTGGTGCTTTTTGGAGATAATACAGACATTTCAGTTGAACTTGTTGATACGACAATGGAAAAGCGAACGGTGAATGTGCACATTTACATTTCAATAAGGGTATAGGTTAACCTGAAGAGGGCAAAATTGTAGAAGTTTACAATTTCTGTATTTTATATTTTCAGATATTTGACTCTGCATTTGTTTTGTAGCTTTAAAAGAACATTTCTCTGACCCAATCATTTAGTAACAAAATAAGTGCCCTTTTTAGTAGTCAGCCGCGTGGTGAACATCCATTTTGCTCTTCTACTTAATAATTTCCTCTAAAAACAGGCTTCAACTAAGTGCAACTTCATCTGAGGGCAAAAAAATCAGTAACAAATACTGCGTTTTCAGATTAAGTTGGTGTACAAATAGGCTTTGAGAAGAATTTCACAAATGGTAGCAAATTACGTTTTTAGAGTCAGATAGGAAGAACGACACACTAATCAATTCAATAAAGTTAGATGCACCTTCTGAAACAGAAGCTTGCGCGTTTGGCATGGCACAGTACTCGAATCCAAGGCTTCCTTATGCGAACCATGAGTTACCATTAAACCACTCACTAAAAGCTTCCAGACAGTTTTCTTCTTATTTAAAACTTCACGTAAATTATTTTGGTGAGTGGCCTAATCCACATCTGTGCTCTTTGTGAAGCAGCTTTTACCTTTTAAAAACAAGATGGTGTTTTCTTCTAGAGTCCTTCTTCTGACTCAAGAGACTCGATGTATCTCCATGTCTCGGTTGAACCGTGGCAAAATGTTAGGTGCGCAAATTATTTTGTGCATAGAACAGTAACAAGTCCAATTAATTGTGGAGCAGTAAAAATGTGGTTACTAAAAGGAGAAAAAAAATCACCTTCAAGTATCCGTAGAACACAACATTTATTCTTACATGAAGCAAATTAATGTGAATGAAGCAATCGTCATCTTTCCAATTCCCTCAGGCTCATGCGGCCAATTCACGGGCAACGTGCTGCTCACCATCTGCTTGCCTTTTTCGACGGTTGCATCCTGTGTTAATTTGTTACACGACTCGTAATGCAAGAGCAGTGGAATGGAATCAGCTTTGAACTAGTCCAGTACATCGGCCAAATTAATTGCTAGAGCAGATTCGTCCGATTGTCTCAATGCACTAAGTCTTACTCCACTTTCAACCATGTCGTTCTCAAATCGTCACTAACGTCAAACTCCATCGCGTGCGTACGGTGACTATTTATTTCAAGTCCAAACTCTGGATGTTAAATGACACAGTGATCAAATTTTATGAGTGTAGAATTTTACTGCGCACCTCTGAATCAGGATGTTAGCTTTGATTTAAAAAAAGTAAAGAAATTGAGGATTAAAGCGCGAATGTTGAGCTGGAATTTCGTTTTCGTCATAAAAATTACTGACGGTTTTTCAGATCTAATAAATTCAGCAGTGAACATAAGAAGTACTTTAAACGCTGATGTACTAATACCGTGGGGAAAGTCATCTCGTAAGCCCACCAAAATGGATGTATGCGCACGAAGCAAATTGCATCAACTTGACATAAATTTGTTTTCATTAACTAGTCGAACCATTTTTCAGGATTCACAAATACACTTGTATTTAAGCAAGAGGGTAGCTTCCGGATTAAAATGACTGGATAAAGGTTGAGTGAGGCAAAGGTTTTTTAAAAGGGGGATTGCACGTCAGAGCTGCAGCAAAATGTATGAGGAGATTGTTTTCCTTCCCTTGTGCTTACATAAAATCTTTCCCTAAAAATCGAACAACTCTATAAACGCCATTATTTTTTTGGAATTTTTAGCTTAGCTATGGGGAAAGATACAAGATCCTATTTAAATTAAATCGCACTTTATGATAAATGGGAGTCTTTTCAGTTAGCGTACAGAGAGCAGAGCTGTAAAATATGGTTTTTGAGCAAATTTTGAGATTCAAAGAAATAAGGGTTTAAAGTGAGGATTTAAAGTTCAAATCAGATCAAATTACCTCCGTAGTACCATAAGATTCCCCTAAGGACGGAAAAGCACACAAACTTGAGCGGAATACATGTATTCGACATAGGGTATGGCTGGGGCTACTGGCATGGCTTATAGGCCAGCCTACCCGACGAAGGTACTGCGGTGGAGACCCTACGTAACCCTTTTCCAAAACTGGGAATTTAAGAACCGGCGCATTACACTAATCCTTCGTGTCAAATCCATTGGTTCTATAAACTCATCATGTTTTACTGCCACTTTCATCAAGTAGAAAATTGGCAAGTGGGTTGGTTACAGTCCTCTTGCAAAACAAAAGATGTATATTAAGTGAATGAAGCAAAATCCATTTAAGGTGTGAATTCAAGTATAACAATAACGTGAATGTAAAATGTGGGGCTAACAAATTTTAATTTAAAAATATTTACCAATCGCGCAGTTGGAATAATGTTAACCCTGCTTTTGCAACCTGGCTTACCTCCGGGACAATATTGCATGCCATTAAAACGTGCCAGATTCACCTCAAAGTCAGGCGTCTCGGCGATTAAATTCTCTCCTGGCTGCGACCCGGCAGTACGGGGGGTGCTGCTAATAAGCGTCACGCGGATTGGCGTGCACAAAAGCCTCATTCCCATGTTTCCAAAAAACACTTTACTTCATCCATTTTTAATCCGAAAAATGACTGGACTAGACCTTAAAGTTAGTGTTGAATGAGCAGTACACGGAACAAGAAGTTCAACTGAATAGTAGGATCCGAAACTGCTATATTTAAATTTTGTCGTCATTTGAGGTATTTCTTATCTTGCATATTCATATTTAAAAGGCAATTCCTTAACATCTCGTTTTAAAAAAGGTACACGAAATTTCAGACAATTTTACTTATTGCTTAGACGTGTTTGCTTTATTGTTTATTGGTGGTTGGTACTATTCATTGACTATGCTTAAGCAGCGTTTCCACTGGGTGACTGTGTAAATCAGACTTCAACAAATAATTCTGATGGCCTTGTTGCGCATTTTTTGCAATGCTTAACACGGTTGTCGTTTATCAAAGAAGGCATACTGCAAATTGTTTTTTCCTAAAGTTATTTAACTCGGTTCTGGGAGACTTTTGGAGTTGTTCGGGGATGGATGACGAGGTAATGCATTAAAAGTTTAGCAGTTATGCAGCAAGTAATTGAAATGGTTCTTTTGGTGGCTTGCTTTCCTCTTTATTTAGGACAAATGAATATTTAATGCTGCAGGCAGCTGTTGGAGATACATGTCTAGTTCGCCACCAAAGGCGTGGCATTAGCAACAGAGGCAAGGCCTAAAAAATTACGCCATATTACCGGTGGTGCTGCTTGAAAGTATTCGTGGAATTTTTGGACTATTTAGTCCTCGCGGGTTGTACTTCTGCTTGGCGGCATGCCTCCCCGGTCACGCCTATAGGCTCCCAGCGCTTCTGCTCCCCTACGCTAGGAATGACCCATTCCTCCAAATTGGTATACCTTGTCGAGGTGCCAGGAAAAGCTGGAATGTTGTGAATGTTTGTAAACCACAGAAGAAAGGTGGATCATAATCTGAAGATCGGTGTCAAAAATTTTTAAAATTTAGTTATATATTCAAATTGCGAGAAACAAATCGTAGAACTTCTAACTAATTTATCATGATTGGAATTTGTTTATCTACTAAAAAGGAACCCTTTTGTAGACTTTTAACGGTGTCCACGGGTGATATTGAATTCAAAAAACAAGTCTCTACGAAGTTGTAACAAACTTATTAGACTTCACACCTTAAATACTTCAATCAACCCTACTATCAAAGAAATTAGAAAGTATCAACTTAGCCAAGTTACTGATTGGGAGGTTTTACTAAAATTCCAAAGTGTTGCAAGGCACTCCCTATTTCTCAATAAGCCCTTTTCTCAATTACATTTCAAAGCTAGCCTTTCGTGAAAACAGTCCACTGAGCGGAACACCTTTTTCAGCAAGTCTAGGTGGCAATCGTTATTTTCAGGAAAGTATCCCCTCCCAGTTACTCCAAATGTCACATTTTCCTTTGGAAAACGAAGACTGTTGCATTGGTAAGATTAAGTGGTTTTTATAACCTAAAAACCAGTTTAATGTGCATTCTGTTCTCCTACAAATGCAAACTTTCTAGTTTATGACTTCCACTATAAATATTTGATGAATTGATGAGATATAGTGCACAGCTTTTCGTTTCTTCGAAAAATCTGTTGCTGTGGTAGAGATTTTGTGGCCAGTTTTAAGATCTTATCTGCAATATAATACAAATAAATGAGAAGAATGTGGGCGTAAGACCGAAAAAATATTACAGTAATATTATACTTGTACACAATTGAGCACTTTCTAGAAATTGCATGAGGACTAAGTCGCGAAACTCTTTTAGAGATGACCAAATTCTCAAAAATTGCACAGTGGAAGAATCTGCATTAGGGTTGCTTTCTATCCAAATAAATAGAAAGTTAATGACACTACCCTGTTGGGAAAGTGATAACCCGATCCTATCTTAAGGGTACCAACATTTGAGTTGGCTAAGATCCCATGCACTGCGCTACTTGCACGAAATGAGTAACGACTCCGAGTGTTTGCATTGCGGATCATCAATAAGGGCACTAGTTTTATTCCTAGTTGCTCTTAACCAGGAAAGGACGAAAAATTTTTCCTTACTTAGTGAATACACACGGTTGCAGGAGGTAAGTATTGTTCGCATTTATTCAAACCTCAGAAGGAGACCTGATGCACTGGGATGTAGCTCGTGGGTTTGTAATTCGTTTCTGGCATGCATTATGATGCTCTCCATTCCCCTGCATCCACACCGAATCGTGCGCCCTCGCGGCCTCACGATCCCCCACCTGAGCATGTGACCCAGGCGTGGACGCAGGCTGACACGCGATTGGCTCTCCTCGCGTCTCCCAGTCTACTGCATTTATTGCCCAAACTTCACCGATACAACTCTCGGTCTAAAATAGGCTTGTTTAATTTGGATTTTGACAATGCAATAAATGCAAGTAGGTAGAAACATGCTAAAAGGTAGTTTTTATATTTTTGCCAAGCAACTTTAAAGGGCGGGATAAAATTTATCTACTGGAAGAGCGGGGAGGGAAGCGTGCTAATCCGGATACAGATGTAGACCAAAATCACGAGGACCACTCCCACGCAGACAAAAACAAGCACGCCTTGGAAACCGAACGGGTTGTGATCGTGGTCGGCGTAGCATGTTACAGCTACAAAAGGAGGAAGAGACACAGGATGTAATTTACCATCTGAGCATGGAATACACCCGCCTGTGATATTTTCTTTCTACAATATGATAAGTAAAAAGCAAAAAATGTACCTTTTTAGAGCTTTATCCACTTTGCCTGAAATATAGTACAATAGTAAGGCTTTGCTAACCTTGGTAAGGTACGAAATGCCCTAAACGAAATAGGTTCGTCAGTATAAGTGGATGTTTTGGGCAATACCGAAATGATTGAGCACTCTGGCCATTTTATGAGCACCTACATCTAATTGAATACGCATTTAATGGACACAGATTTAGATGAACTACCGAAATCCATAAGTTTCTTACACTTACATTATTCATTTGTAAGGAGTTCGATCTAGGATGAAGAAGTAAAACCTCTGGGATGCTGTAACAAGCGTATTGTGTATATTCAAGTAATACTCTTCCTGTAGACCATTTTTTTGGCAAATATAAACACCCTTCACACTTTTTATACTACAACAACATAAACTAAGCTAATGCAGTGTCTTCTTCCAGAAGGTGGGCCATTGACACCGCCCTGTCGCACTTCTTCCGACAGGTGTAAAAGTTGAGGGTGAGACAAAAAGTACTTTTATGTATTAGCATCACCTACACAGTAATGCAGACTGTTTTCATTTGAGATAGTGGACGTATAAAATTTAACAAAAACTTTTTCGGTTACACTTCACAAAATGGATTAGCTGTTGAAAGAGCTTTCCATGTGTTTCCCATCAATCCTCCTTTACTGGCACAGATCCGGATAAAACAGGCTTTGAAAAACTAACTTAGTCTTGGTGTTATCCGTTGAACTTTTTGAATTCTTAGTGTATTATTGCACTAAAAATCTTTAACATTTTCTGCATAATTTTGTTCTTTTTTAAGGAGAAATAGAAAATATCTTTGTTTAGAGATGTCCCTTGCTCACACATCTTTAAAGAGAACATGGCAAAATATTAGTCTTCATTCATCAACCTTGGTCTTATCTCTGAAAAATACGAATGATCAACACCCCTCATCACTGAGAAATTGAATTTTGCCACCTAAAAACCATCATCTCCCGCAGATATTGCATTTGTACCCTTGTCAGTGACTCAGGTAGATACCATTAAAACACCTCCAACACGTTGTTGCACTTAATTCTGCTTAATTTCTGTCCATCAAACATAAAATTAATTCCTTGAAGGTAACATAAGTGGAGGAGCACATCCCTCGTCTCTTTTCCCTTCTCTCAGCCAATTGTTAGATGATCTGTTTTGCAAGACCTCTCACCGCAAGTCACCTGTCTTAAAATTTTGCGAGCACTTTTGGTGCACTGGCATTTAACTTATGTTCTTCAACAATGTAAGCCACTCAACCATCAACCATGCGAAGGGATGAATGGCCACAGTATCCACATTTGTCCTGCTAAATATTTCCAGTAACAGAATTTCACTGCCACAAAAATTTACATGCCGTGCTCACATTACCTTGGCCAGTGCGTGAGAAGGAGCTGTTTGTTTATTTATTCAGCAGTGATTTTTAGAGGGCGGGAGTTTTGGACAAGTCATTTGGCGTAGTGTTACCAGTGACAGCTCCATCAAGCTGCTTAGCAGTCTCACAAAAAATTCACGTCTTCCTTTGCTTACCGTTCGTCCCTACTCTATTAGACTGAGGCTTTTCCGTAATTAATTAGCCACTTGGTTGGTTTCATTACCGATTGTCGATAAGCTGTACAGCAATACTCCAAAAGAATAAAAGATTGGAGACATCAACGGTATCTGAGTAGCGTTTTGCCTTTGAGGTGGTAAAAAATAATTGAGAGAGCAGAGCACATCTGGGTTTGATAATCACAATAGCCAAAATATCCACTCACCATAGCCACTAAAATTAGCTGCGCCTATATCCGGAAAGGCTTGAAACTTCACGCTACCTAAACGCAAGGTTGCATTGTATTTCTCCCCATAGAGTGTGACATTCCAGCCTGACATGCAGCTGTAGTGGTTACCCGCGCGTATGAGGGTATCTTGATGGGGCTCCTTCACTTGGCCTGAAACCAACATGCACAATATACATAATACTCCAAAGGATCCATGTGGCTCCGGGTTTACAAAAAAATAAATCCTTCAATGATGAGCAGTGACTATGTCCGCGGTTTGCAACCGAGGCTTAGAGGTTGCTTCGGTCAAAATTTCTTAATGTCAAGCAGAATTCGCAAGTTATTATCTGCGATAAATAACTACTAAGTTGCTATGCGCCAGACATATGAATATTTGCCTTCCAGCGGATTAACTCACTTATCTGTTGTTTTAAGTGCTTTGATTGACAGAAGAGTCCTTAAGGTAGACTCAAAAGGTTTTCCTCATCAACCTTAAAAATAATTCCAAATTGAATTGTCTAATCAACATTGCTTAATTTTATTGCTGCCATAACCATAGGGCGTATCAGACATGGCTCCCATAAGTACAACATTGCAAAATGGAAAGGCAGGGTTGGTTACCACCCCCCTAAAAGAGCCATTTTTAGACACAAACGAAAGGAAACTTTATGTCTGTATTCAAGAGTGATTTGGAAAATAAACTAAGCTATATCTGAAGAAACCCAGATTGTCAAAATTTACATTTACAAGTTCAAATGTTAATAAGTATAAGAAATGTTTTGATCAAGGGGGAAGATAAGTTCCACCATGGAAAATTTCACACTTGAACCAAAATTTTTGGACCACATTTTCCCAGCGTCTGTGTATACGTAGAAATTTTGGCTAGATTAAACCAGGTAAAGGTAGTATGCAGTGATGGGCGCGCTGTCAATTGTACATCTATGCGGAAATAGCTTCAAGCATTGAAATACTGAGACTGAAGGAAAGCCAATACGTCGAGCAAACTATACAAATGATGGTCTTTTGGCTATCCGCAGGCACGGGAAATATCATTTACCAGGTTTGAGTGAAAACGCCAAATTCACATGGTTTCAAAGAAATTTGCGCCGTTTAATAATAAGACCAACTTAAAAAGGATCCGACAGATCAGGGTTGCTTCTATGCTTTCGTTGACAATCACAAAGAAGTAGAAAATGACTATGGTCAATTATCAGAAAGTAACAAAAACTGAAAACTAATTAAATAAAAGAAAGGCTATCTTTCTAATTTTATACTAGGATTTGATGTCTAGACAGTCTGGTCATTCGCATAAGAAATGACGGTAAATGCTTCCACTATTCCTGGCAATTGAGTCGGTCATGACTGGATTCCTTGAAAAGGTAACAAACATTAAAATTCTTCAGAAATTACGAGTAATCACGTGACTGAAAGATACATTTTTGCCTAATCTTCTCTGCCGCTTAGTGAGCTAGGAAAGTAGCTAATAACGACACAATAATACACGACTAGTTATGCCTAGGACAACTTAGGCTTTGTGGCGTTCCTGCCGAAACAATTGAGGGACTCAGAATATTTGTTAGGCCTAGGTGGTGTAAATAATTGGCAAAAAATTTTACCATACATCATTTGTGATCCGAATCTGAAGTGATCTGAAGCTTAACGTGAGCTTCTTTCGGACTAAAGTTCTCACAGAATGTGAACAAATCCGTATTACTACAGTAAATGGCTTATTAAAGAGGGAAATGACTGCCGTGGAATGCGGAGTAAATTGAGGAACTTTTAAAGCACGTCATGGTCAACACTCCCCATCTACAAGTAATTTTATAACTATAAAAACGAATTTCCTGCATTATCGTAATGATCAAACAATAAAAAACTATTAAGCATGTATATGCAAATCCTTAGCTTTGAAACAATTAATCCAAAATTGGGTTAAGCAAAGACACACCCTTTTTCGATGTTTTTGAAATATTTGCTTAATGCGAATGAACGTTTTGACGTCTGCATGCTGAACCATATTTTTGCCTTTTGAATCCACTTAATCATAACCAACGAAATTCCGACAAAGTAGTCTGAAACCCAAATTTAAGTATGTACTCGCAAATGCTAATAACAAGTGTAAGCGTTATTGTGTGAAGTAAAAAATGGTAAGCCATGTGGTTTTGCGATGCGGCGATCTGGATGAAATTATAAATAGAGCGTAGTAAACACTGATAAACAAAATTTGCATTTCAGTACGATGCGGCCAGCAGACAAGGTGTAGTAAACCACAACCTTTCAGCAATTGTGAGATTATGCTTCATCAAAGCGTCTACCGACTATGCCAATAAGTTTGGTGTAAAACTAGACATTTCATGACGAAAACGATAGTTGAATTCCCCACAAATGATTTCAAACTGCAAAAAGTAGAAGCCCGCGTTTTTGAAGTCAAAATTCCCACAATGCCCTTTTTTGGAAGACTATACGGGGCAAATGCTCAAACGATTTTTGGTAATTATTTCCCTTCTTAGTACCATGGCGGGCAATTAGTGCGACAACATGTCATCCGAAGGCTCGTCAACCCCATCAGCAGTTTTTGGAGAAAGGTGGACATTTTATGAGCACCAAAAGTGTGAGCTCTTTCTGGGCCAATGAATGAGGCTACCCCAGACCATGTATGCAAGCAAATAGAATACAAAGTCAAAGCACTATATTTGTCCTCGCTTTTGTAGTAAATACACGCATCCACCTGAGCTTTTCCATTTTAAGTTACGAAATGAGCTTTTATTGGCCGTACGAATTTTAGTACCTAGTCCAACAGGGAAAATTGCCTGGTGTTAAAATGGACATCACTGGCTTTCCACTCGGTGTATCCAAGTCAAAGTAGTCCTTCACTTTACGAATAAGTGTATAGTATTGGTAAGACTAATTCCTTTTCTAAATTACAACTTGATATCATTTCTAGTCGGCTTAAAGCAACCCTGAGGAGGGTAACGAGGTGGACGCAAATTGTCAAGACACCAGTTCCCGTTGTTTCTCCTTCCGCGCGGGGTTTTTCGAGTGAGCCATGATGTAGCGCATGCACACCTGATGGGGACATCTTGAGAGAAACATCAACGCACGGTCATAACTAACGTAATGGTCAACCGGACGTAGTTGTACACCAGAGGGGCACTTTGAAAGACCCACTCAGGCATCTGCCCACCAGATAAGAATGGGAGTTACGAGCAGGCTGCACTGGGGAAAATAAGCATTAAGATGAATAACAGCAAATTCAACATTTATCCTTACTGGTCAAAAGTAAAATGCACAATTAAGCTGCTGTCCCACATTTTCAAGGTGCGTTATTTGACTGCTTCATATGAGGTCGGTGACGTTGACAGGAACTAAAATTCTATTCAAAGCCAACAAACTACCAAATGCGAAATCCATTTGACGTCGTCAATCATTCAAGCCATAGGCTAAAGAGTTCTGTGACTCACTTATTTGCTATCTACGAATTTTGTTGAGTAGGGATGCAAATGAGGTGCTGAACTTTAATGTGGGCCAAGGAATATTTGTTGTAACTCTGTGCGCAATCGCGTGTTAAATTATTTAAAGTTTCAGCTATTTTGCAATTTATTTCCTTATCGCCAACCATTTTGGCAGAGTTATTGAGCTCTAGCAAGAGCTATGATTTATTGATAAGAAGCCCGCCTTGTACTTAGGATCCCGCCTTTTAATTTTGAGTTCCTTTATTGAAGCATTGCGGCACTTTCTTCTATCGTTAACATCCTGCATAGGCGACGTGCAAAGTTTCTGGGACTAAATGATCTCTGACGCTTAAATCTTCGGCTTCCACCGAAGAATATGTGTATGTAGCATGCTCTTGCGTATATTGTACCAATCATTATGTTAAGCGACCATAAAAGTACCATGAAGCAGAAAAGTGAGTTTTCACTGGTTTGAGACGGTTTCTAAGCGCATTTTTTTGTGAATTCAATATTTCGCGCACACTTTTATCATAAAATCTGTCAGCCATCAGTATTCAAAGGCGTCTCGGCTTAAGATCACCTAGTCCTAAAAATGGGATTTTTAAATTAATTCATAGAAGTGAGTAGACCTGATATTTTCGTTTATGGTGAAGTTAAGTTGGCAAAAGGTGTTATGCTTCAGCTTTAAATAGAACGAATAAGCTGCAACAATGATGTATTTCAAAATTTGTAAGCTTTGGGGATCTCGCCGCATTTCCGGTCTACAAACCTCCTTTAGGATCGTTTGTTGATTCGCCTGCTGCTTGGTGATCAAATAAAACACCCTAAGTTAACACGGTGTTTTCACTTGTGATTCATCAGTCTCATTCAACCTTTAAAGTGGCTCTCCCCCATGCAGTGCGTTACAAATAAGGCCTCACCGTAAATTACTAAAATCTGTCCCTACCGTCGAATAATTTATAAGCCAACTTTGCTAATGGGTAGTGGTAAGATTGTGTATGGAACTTTTTACATATACATCGATCAACATATAAGTTTTTAATGAAAACAGCTTATTTAGAAGCCATGTATATTAGTCAGTTTTTTAAACTGTCGGGTGGGATAGCTTTTCAGTAGTCTACAACAACAGCTCTGCAATGAAAATTAAAATGATCTGCTACATTTTTGTCAACATTTTAGCTCATTTGCTCCTACTACTTAAAAACGGGGATGAATGAGTTTTTGGTGACTAAATAAAGCTTCAAATAAGCAACATTACACTTTGACACTTCACTGTCATAAAATCCTGACAACCGGTCACCCTCAAGTAGGTGAAATGGTAGAGGTACCTGAACATTACCAAAAGTTGACAGCAGAATTTTATGTCTATTCCAAAGCACCTAGATGGCCAATGGTGGTAAATGGGAACTTTGGATCTTCATAAGTTTGAAATAAGAGGACACATATTGACAACGAAAATTGCTTCTCAAAATCACAGCTTTATGGAGGATATACCGAGGAAAAAATCATAAGAAGTTAATACTAAACTAAGTTTTTACTCTACTTGGTCAAAAAATAGCTAGAATTTTGGGAGATTTAGCAAAGCAAGAAAGTGGACAATATTGACAAGAGCAATTTAGTATTTAAATGCCCAATGAATTTACAATGCCACGACTTTTTGCATCCCCATATGATCAAGCAGTATTCCAACATCATTCTAACACCATGGTCGTGAAGCCAGGGACACCTGCTAAACGAAGTGAAGAGCCATTGCTGTTTTACTAAGTTCGGCGCTTTAATCTAGTATACATTAGAGAAAAATCCTCGCCGATTTTAAGCAGAAACGTGTTTTTTTTACTGAGCAAAAGTAATGTCCTGCATACCATTATCAAAAGCTCCCTTAAATTTCAGGACTGTGAGAGCCAAACTATCGAGTTATATGAGGGATCTCGTAACTTTATGACCTTCCATTTGCGTGTGTTAATAACTTTGGGATCAGGAGAAATGTGTGTGTGTGCGCGTGTGTGTGCGACCTCCTTTTGCCCTGCCATCGTTCTAATAAATTGGAACGATCTGTACTTTGCGTTTTGATTTACGGATTTTCTGAGAAAAAGTACACGAGTTTTTTCAACTTTTCAAGTTAAGTTTGCACGGTGAGTTCAATTTGAACTATGACACAACGAGTGTAAAAGCCCCACTTTTTTGCCATGCTTCCTTCTAATGAACAATGGAACAATTTATATTCATCTTTGGTAAAAATAAGGACATCTATTACCCAACTTCGATACATTTATTATGAAGTGTACTTTATAACATGCAATTATAAGTGTAATTATGCAAGTGTAATTTATGATTACACCTTATAAATTGTGCCTTGTTGAAAATTATACTTCACTAATATGTAAATTTATTAAGAATTTGTGGACCTCCTAAAATCTTAAATGGTGGATGCATAATTTCCAACTGATCATTGAAATTTCTACTAATCGCAATTCATTTATTCGAGGTAATGAGGATAATGACAAACCAATACTACGCAATATGGCCCTTGATACTGAATTCCAGCCTTAACATAATGTCGTGGGCAGTCAGAATCTCCTATACTTGATTGAAAGGAAAGTTGCCGGGAAAACTAAAAGAATCATGTGTAATCCCTTCGTCATCTAATGAAAATTTGAGAATCTGTTTTACTTCTACCATTTCGATTGCGGAGCAGCGAGTAACACCTTATGATGTATCAAAACTAGGTACACAGACAAAGTTTTTATATCTTGGCATGGAAAGTGTATTGTTGGACAGTTCATATTATGACATCCATAATGCCTTAAATTTCAGTGAAGAACTCTTTTTAATAAAAATCTAAGGTAAAAGGTAGACATTATTAATTTGTCTTCAAAAAACTATCGGAAAATGTTCAAGTAAATAACATTCTTTTACATCTGAGTGCAATCACATGCATGAAAGTGATCATATTTAAAAACTAATGACCGGATAAATTCACTAAAAATCTATGCCATTGAAATATCAAGGGAAATTTGGTCGAGCAAATACGTAGCATTATTAAGTAACAATTTCAAATTGGGGAAAGTACGCACTTTGGCGATATTACTGCTCTCATACCACCTCCAGTTTATTTCTTTATAGTAAAAGATTAGACGGACCAATATGTCTGAATTTGAATTTATCCATTTTGAAAACTAAGTTTCCAAAAATCTTGAAAATTGAAAAAAAGTCACATGAAAGTATACTAGTAAGTGGAACATTCCTTGATGAATCGGTTTATTTCAAACGTATGATCTAGCAGACCTAGCTGAAAAGAAATAATTTATGACTATGGCAGATGATGTTTCTAGACAAAGATTTCGTTGTAATATATTTAACGCGTAAAATCCGTAATTGCACAACATACCTGGCAAGGCAGTTACATTTGCACAGTATGTTTCGTTTGTAAACTCATTGAAGACGGACAGATTTGTGAGGGCATAGGTCCCGTGTAGAAGATATTCTTCTGCACCAACTGTATTGAATCCTTGTCCAAACATTTCCATAAAAGGCTCCGGTGTAAAGAACCAGAACCAATGAACTATATATCCCTTTTGAAGGCGCATATTTACAAAACTTCCGCTTCGAAGACTACAACTACCACTTCCATTATGCGTATAATCAAAGGCAAAGGAGACATTCTAAAGATCATATAGATATATGAAAACCCACTTCGTCATTTTTGATTATGGAGAAGGATGAGTTACATGAGACTTCAACGACTACGCAGGGGATATCCATAAAATCGGTAAATTCATAGTGAAGTATGTACGATTTACTCTTAATAACTGGAAGAAGTATGCATTGGATAAGAATTAGAATCAACGAAAGCATTTGAAAGGCATTTCCTCCTTCCCTCCTGAAACAATAGAAATGCATTTAAGGTCCGCAAAAAAACGAAAAATTGAACACTTTTTCAGTTCCGTACACTTACTGGATTCAAACATTACATCAATCACTCCAGGCCAGAAATCATTTGATAAAATGCCAATCGACCTTGACTCTATTCATAGTATGTAAAATAAGTCAAGGATTTATTGCATAAAGATCAGACAATTTTCATACTACCTCCATAAAGTACAGTTAGTTGGATAAAGCACTTTACTGTAAGCGGAACTAGAGCAATTTTTAGTCATCCTTGGATTTTGCAAACAATGGTGATGTATGGCATTAATTTTTAGCACTGACACATTGCATTGCACTTCACTGTCACACTTTAAAAAAGTTTCTAAGAATAAAAATTCCCATGTCTGCTATTTTTAGGCAAATGTTTCAGTTAAAACTGTGTAGAAAGATGCACCTTCTTGACACAAAGTGCGAGAAATCTTCCTCCTTTTGCTGTGGAAGTATGCAGGATGAGGATATTTTGCTTCATAAATGACATTTGCTTGTTAGTGTTACAATTGCTGATGATTTAGGAAGCAGTTGACTTGAGGACCCGACTGATGTTAAATACGTAGCAATAAAAACAGTAACCTGAGAAATCACTTAAACGGTGTGTCAGGTGCTTGTGTGTGCAAATTTTAGAGTTTGTGCATCCTGTCTATAAGATTTTATTAGGGATTCGTCTTAAATAAATGTGTGGAGCACCCCCAGTTTTGGATAGTGTCGTATCAGGTCAAAGTAATGTAGGGAATATACATTACTGACACGTGAGTGGGCTGCAAGACTGAAAGCGGGATTTAAACGCCTTAATGAGAAGTAGCAGTACAACACATAGGTAGTGATCCGATCGTTCAGTTAAAAGCACAATTTAAACATCGAACACAGAATCTACTTGTAACATTAACTAACGTTATAACAGGTACACTTAATTAAAGTACTTAACACCGGAACTGACAACTACCAGTAAGTTAGTGGGTTTTGGGTTCTCGAATGATGACTAATTTGAGGGAAATACTTTTACTTAACATATTATTATTAAGTCTTGTTTTCAAACTACATGCATCACTGCTTAGCTCTTGAAGAATGTTATGACTGAAGCAATTATGCTTTTCTGCTATTTCCTTTCTGTTTAGCTGTCCAAATGCCCTCGTAAGTTTATTGGTCAGTAGGTGAATGCGCCTTTTCGGGGACTCAGCCTTTCTGTCCTGTATTCGCCCCACTACACAGTTCTCTTCTCTGAGTTTTCGCGATGTGTGCAAATTCGATGGAAGTAGGGAGTAAATCAAGTCCTTTTCTCTACATGGACGAATGTATTCAATGCCAGCACGCTAAAGACGGTGGTGTCGAGGCATTTATTGCCCACTTAGCTGTTGAACACAGCATACCAACAGAGTGGCCCAGTGATAGGGCTGCAAGGCTAACCGGGGCAGAGGCGAAAAAGCCCTACACTACCGTTGCTGCTACTCGAAAAAAACGAAGAAAATTGACAACACCTAGACCACTTAACAGTTTTATGGTGGGATTTAGTTTTCTTCACATTTATTGGCCGATTCTATTATTAGCACTCAATTTATTTTTTAATTTAACTGAAGAGGTATCATATTTTGTCGTCATTTTGTGCTTGCATAAATCTTTTTGCATATACGCATTTTTTGCTTCAGTGTGCATTGTGCAATATCGGTATGTAGCACTATATATCAGACTTTAAACTAAGGGTGCGAAACTTCCCTTCCACTACGTGTCGGAAATAATTTTCAACTTTTAGAACTATGTCATTTCAAATGTTTCGTTAGCCATTAGACATTGCTAACGACTTCTTTTTAGTCTAACGGTGCAATTCCTTGACTTCATGGGCATCAATTCATCGGTGTTGGCTCGTTTTATTTGTAGCATTAATGTAATGAAGTATTTCTTTTGCTATGTTTCTGTCTTTTAGGTTTTTGCTCAGCATATTCGTCGTAATGTTTTGGCTATATTTGACACAGCTTCAAGTTCACACGTAAGCCGCTTGTTGGGTGAGGCCTGGAATTTGATTCCCAGAGAAGTACGGGCTTTGTACGACGAGGAAGCTGCCCGATTGTCAAAAATTCACAACATTGAATTCCCGACTTATAAGTATCAACCAAAACCTCGTCAATGGCAGTCGAGCAGTGTTGCTGTGTCCGCCTCTCCTGCTACAAGCACTCGTGATGAACCGTCTCCAAACCAAGTTTGCCTGTCAGTCTCGATTCCCTCCGTTTCTTGGCCTCCCTCAGCCGTTCCGACGACTTCCACCCCTTCCACTATCGCATCAGTCGATCGACCTTCGCCGCCAGTGACAATTAAACCGGAGCCTCCTAATCCCCCTCCACAACCACCACGACCACCGTCTATATTACCGGCTTCTTCCCAACCGGCCTCTCCGACACGATCAAAGGTACTCATTCGTGACATTCATCCGACATCCGTCCAATCGTGTACATCCCAATCAACTTCCGAATTGGTTAAAATAGCACCAGCGGCTCAAAGACCCATTGCACCTTCTAGAATAGCCATAAAATCGGAACCCCTTGGGTACTCAGAACAAAACTTGAATGATCCATCCTCACCCTGTCTTTCTACCTCTTCTCCCCTTTCTCGGACACCATCCCCAGCCCAACAGTTTACTTCTATGCAAGAGAATATTATTCCACCAATAGAAAACCAGTTGCCACAGAAGCCCTCCATTGATACCGCGGCACAACAGAGACTCGCCTCCGATCTGGCAACATTGAATAAACTAATCAACGAAGCTGCTACCAGTTCTCAACAAATGCGGCAGCCCCAGCTGCAAAGCGACTCAAAGCCTTGTATTCTTCTAACCCCAATTCAGTCCGACATTGGACAGCAGGCCATTATCTCGTGCGGTCAGTCTTCGACCATGCCCACTCTGCTCACTTGTGGCAGTACGATCTACGTTGCCCTCACGGTCTTGCCGTCACCGCTTGAACCAACCTCTGAGGTGCGGACTCCGGTGAGCCAAGATCAGGCAATGCCCGAGAGGCAGCGGTTGGCGCCGAGTGACGAAAGTCTTGCGGGTTTCAATTTGGTCGAATTGGTGCGCTCCCTGGACGCAAATCAAATGCAGTCCAACGCGAACAGTCGGTTGGGCGAACTGTTGCGAGCAGCCGCCGCGGCTGCGGCCACTACCAGCCAGTGAAATATTTCATACTTCGCATTTGACGATAAATTTCCCTCCTCTTCAGGTCACTACGTGTACATATTAGTTTATGCTTATTCTATTTGCAACTCTTATCACTTGATTTTCGATCTTCTAACCTCTATCATTGTTATGTTGTTCAGCTTTTTGTATATCTTTGTATTTAGAACTGTTTTAACGCACTCCATTAGTTGACTGTGCTCATGTTTTGATACGTTGGCCACTTCGTGGTTTTGTATACTCCGAACAAGTAGTCTAATGTGTTCATAAGGTGTGTTTAGGTAGTACACATTTGTGACCTTAACTCTAGGTTAAAACTGTAATGTTTACTTTCCTAGAATTGAGTTCCGAGCAATCCCTTAATTTTCATTAATTGCAAAACACGAGGTGTTTTTCTTCGTGTAGTGAAATCATTGCCTACAGGTGGTGCGATTTCATGACCTGGCACTGTCAAATTATTCCAGTCAGATTTTGGACTTTCTGTTTAGGTATGTTACTATTAGCTAATTTTTTTACTTGTGCGCCTCCAATACCTATAAAGCTATGGGATAGGTAAGTAACCACCTGTGTTTAATAGTTGTAAGTACTGCGAAATCTATTCTTGTCTTGAAGTTACAACCGACCAAGCTGTTTTTTCTCAATAATCTTTCTCTTTCTCAGTCGAATGTGGTATAAAGAACAGTCATTACGTTGTATGTACTTTGGATTACTTACTATGCGTCACCATAACGCAATTTTGCGTTATAATGTGCGGCGACATCCGATTTAGGAATCACAAGAGCATTTTTCTTCACATAATGCGAGTCACTGATCCCTGGTTCAGCTACACCACTGATCGCATCAAATATGCAGTTTCGATACAAGCTACAAATAAGATTCCAGCTGTGGTAATTTCGACGATTTCGTTGCTGAAAGACACAGCACATAGCCCAAAGCCATCTTTGCATGGCTTTAACTCATGTAACAAAATCGGAAGTCCCTTGACTGGATTGGTTGATGTCACACAGGATTGAAGGGTCGGTTTCGATTTGTACTTGCTAATTATTGTTATTTCCGAAAGTGACATTTGCATCAGTCTAACCGTCACGGTGTACGTAACTATGGTTAGCCGAAAGTTTTGATCATCGATGTTCTGAGGATTGATAATGGGATTTCATTCATGTCTTTGGTTTTGCCGCGAGAGCCGGTACCTGTGCATGTGTGTACTAAGCGACGGGTCTCATGAAAGACACCTTCCCTTGTTTGCAAACAGCTTGTGACCTGTAGATTTTATTGCGCTACATAGGTCAACAAATGTTTCCCCATGTCAAATCTTGTTTTCCCAGAGCACTCTTATTTGATTTAACACAGTACTGTGAGCTGGAATCGTAAGCTATTATCATGCCCATTTTAAAAGTCGGGGTCTAGAAGACTGGAGCTCAAAAACCGATTAACTTTATTTGGACTGTCTCTCTCTAGGAGCGTTATTCTCTTCTTCTATGATTTTCAAGTCGATGCAGATGAAGAAATCGTCCATTAGACATTAAATCTTATGAAACATTTGGGATTGATTCGTCAAGTGGTCCAACTCCGAGTTGGTAGAAAATTTCGGTGGGACGATTTAGACTTGCCAATAATGTTCACAAAAACCCTTTTCCTGTCTGCGTCTTTGAGCCAGTCCTTGCTCAGCTCGGCGGAGAGGTGTGCTTGCAGCAGTTCTCCATAACATTTAAAGCTACTTCCTTTTGTGCATTGTTTGCCGTGATCTGGAAAGGAACAGGTCTTAACGCTCAGTGATTATTTGAAGCATCAAAGTCGGCTGTGTCACAATTGAAGAGTTAAGCACACACCCATTCGCAGAAACGTGTCCTGATGTCGTTGAAAAAAAAGCGGACCAAGAAAGAAGCATATTTCGACAGCCAGGGGACAGGGTGATTGCATAATAGGCCAAAAATGCGTGCATCCATATGCGTTGAATAAACTTCCACACTGGTGACCTATTTGTGGTTACTTTCAATTGGTTAGGTGTCGGAAGAGCAGCTACCTTTTACCATGTAATGCCCCTTTATCGAGATGATGTTAGAAGAATAATTTAGAATAAAGCTGTAAGGTTCTGCCAAAAAGTCAACATGCTACCCACTCTCCACTTCACGTTTGCAATTCCGTTCCACGGTGGCTCCCATCGCCGCCCTCCAGGCATTTTAGCAAAAAATAGTACCAAATTTAGTGCTGAACTCCTCGGAGGTCATGTATTTACGGTTATAAATGATTGCATCTAAATAAAGTGGTGGGTGATAAATGCGAGGCAGTTGACAATAACCTACATTTTTCGCATTTTAAAACAGACTGACATATCAAACATGATTTACCTTCGTCCAGTTATTGAAATTTGGTCATTCAGATAAAAACTAGCAAGGTGTTGAAGTGTTTAGATTGATCGTGTATACAGAAGGGAAAGCAATTTGTATGTAACTGCGTATTTTCGTGTCATATAGTATTTTGTGACAACTTTTCTCTTAACTTCCCACTATTTTTTTTCCATAGGGCCTCACAAAACCTTATTTTGAACAGTTGGCAACTGCTTTAAAACCACATAGTAAGCTGTGTCCAACACATCTTCCATTTGAGAAGAGAGACTTATGCTTGGGTGAGGTTACTACACAGCATTTATGCCATTTGGGACACCTTCCTCCTGCTTTACTGAATTGGTTTAACAAAGACAGTTCGTTAGTGGGACTTTCTGATGTTTCACTCCCGCCATCGCAGCTACGTTGAATTGATCCTCCTGACTCCTACAGTTAATACTGTGAGGCGAATTCGCGCACGATAGATGTGGATGTAGTGCCAATGCAAAACCGAAATAAAAAGCTGTTTCAATCGCTATCGTACGCTTGGATGGAGTTCGCACAAACCCGAAGTTTCATCAACTTTTTGACTGTCCCACTTTCCTATCACAAGCGACACCAAATGTCAGGTTTACCGTTTGACTAAAAACTGCGGATTTGGTTGTTGCTCTTTGTGATATTGGCAAGGTACCCATTCATCTACTTGGCGACGTGTTTTCACTCAGGAATAATTGAAAGAGAAGAGCCGAAATGAACTTCCATACGCGACTGTACAAGGGCGCTATGAAGAATTTCTTGGATTTTCAAGACCCAACAAAAAAGTAATCATTGTCATCTATGGTTTTCAGTTCCCGAATTGGGTTATTTACTGTTTCACAGGAACACTTGGGGTCAGAACTCACATAAGTTTATTCAAACTGCCGTTGCTACAAGTGAATGAGACCTAACTCAAGCCAGGCTGCATCAGGACCTGCAAATCCTAAAATAACAGTTGTTCAGGTCCTGAGCAAGATTTGTGCTTTCTCCAAGGACTACTTAACTTTCCATCCATATTTAAGACTTTTGACATATCCCAGGAGCTCCATATTAAGGGCTCAACATGTCTTTTGCAAAACCGCCTCCAAAACGTCTGCGTAATAGTAGCCAACGCTCCTTTATTTATAACTAGTACTAACCACTTTAGGTCTATACATGCATCTCGGGCTTTCTTAAGCCAAATTCTCCATTTCCATTGTGCCTATTTTACTCCTAGGCGTAGAACACGTGTGGACTGATAGACTTTATGTTATGAAATCAACAAAGAAACTTCTAATGAGATAGTCCAGTAGGGCACAACCAAAATGTATCCGACTTGCTTCAAATTATGAACCTAAATGCATGTAAATTTGATTAGAAAGGGTGTCGAATTTTAATCTGCATAAGCCTTTGTCATTGAATGTAAGGGGTTGTGTAATACTGTACAAGATCGCAGATCATGGACTACACATGAAATTGCAGAACTTAGTAGCCACAATAAGTCGGGGCATGATAAATAATACTGCTTCGGGATGGAAGTGTAAAATGTAGACTAAAGCTTAGGGTATTACCTTTACAGTGGGAATGCGACAAGTAAGAGTTACTTTTGTGGTGTGGTATCAAGCAGTCTTCATTGGGATTTAAAAAATGAGGTTTTGTATTTGTCCACTGCAATTTGTTTAGTGCTGTTCAAGATGAAAAGTGCTGTAGTTGTGAAAAATGCGAATGACATTTCGCACGCGTGCAAAACGTTGCCTTGGATTCCGACCGCGATTTGGTTGTGTATCATCAACACGGGAAGGCAATCACTCATTTTGTTAATTTTAAGAGCAAAAGAAGAAATTAACCAGTGGCAAGCTCTTTCCTAATGAATGCTTGAAACCCATATTTTTTTACCACTTAAAACTACAGGCGCCATCACAGCCTTGTACTTCAGTGATGAATGTGACTCGGAGATGAGAGAGAGAGAGAGAGAGGGATGCTAAACCACACAGCTGTTAGGCAGAAGGACTTTAAAATCTTGCACACAAGTAAAAGTTTATAGCTTGTGGTAGTGGTGGTGTCTAGCGCGTACACAAGCTCAGTGAGTCACTCCCGAAGCATCCCATTCGACTCGTCTTGGCCCGCCCGAGAGCACATGCAACTCTGAAACCGAAAAGCTAACCAATGGAAAACAGTCGCTCGTAAAGACAGGAGACGAAAGGAAGGCCTGACGAGGGGTTCACATTTTAACGCAGGCCCTACTATTTGTACGTTAGCGTAATCACATGCCCCGAACACCGCTAATGATGCACAGCGTGTGGTGGGTTTCGACGGAAATGCCATTTCAGGAGAGTTTCTTAATTACCAGCTGGTAAAAACGGAATTCCACTTCTTTTGGAAGATAACAACTCCAAAAAAACAACCGGTCTAAATGGTCAATTTGATTCAACACACTTATCATCACTTTTAGCCCTAGAAGTCGTGAGTGTAGTGGTAGTCTCTGAAATGCAATATGGCTCCATACTTCTAGATGTGAGTTTGTAATACAAGTACAGAGGGGCCGAAAAGCTAGTAGCTTAAGTTGTAAGACCAGGGGTCAATATCACCGATGCGTATATGCTGATGTAAAAGAGTTAACAATTTTGTTTAATTACATGTAAATTTTAGCTAAATGTTTCATCTCACGCCTACAAAAACATTGACGTTCCTGGTCCTCAAAGACATGTTCGTGGCCGTATCGTTGGAGGCCGATTGAGACACGCCAAATATGCGCTTACCTAGCCTTCTAGTAGTAGCACATGCTTTGCTATTATTTACCGATTCGTAATATATATTTCCGATCCCGAAATAGCAAATGTAGATAAGGTTATAGGCACAAATTATCCTACCAGTCAATTTTGCACTGGTGTTACAATCCGGAACTTCTTCCATCTATTTATGTTATACGCTTAGGATTGTCTGATTTCAATAACGAGATCCTATTTCTCTTGATTTTTTTCATTGGGAAAATTACTGTTACGGTATTTGCTTTCTTCAGGCTGCTATGCTAACCGTCAGAAATGGTAAAGCCAATGTAATTTCCAACCGAAAATGGCCGTGACACCTCTTATCAGAACACTTCCCTCCCTGTCAAGTGCCTATACACATTTACCTATTCTTTTTGTTAAAACGGCTTCTCATTTCGGTGACTATGGTAATGTAAGGAAATTTAGATAACACGGGCTTTACACTCGCACTCGATGCCAAACCGTGGCAAATTATGCTTATTCGTGGTTGTACATTTGGCTACGCCGACTTTTTCAACCACCACAGAGCTTTACAAATAGTTGTTTAATCTTTCTGCAGGACCTTGATAAGATTTTTGCCCATAGTCGTGGATGCATGGAAAGGTACTTACTTGTCCAATTTGCTCATTTTTCCTCAGTGAAGATTGGTTTCCACGGAAGAAATCTTAACTAAAATGACTAGACTAGAGGTTTCCTGAGTACAAGGAAGCTATAGTTATATCTACATTCAAAACAAAATAATAAAATATCCCCAGAATATCTCCAAAAAGTATGCGGCAATTTCCAGATTTCACGGCGGAAGAACCTATAGACGCTGCAGTACTACACTCCCACCTACAGTATGTGCATGTGGAAGAAGTGTGTGGGAGGCATATGCCTTTAAAGACGGGACAGTTAGCTTGCCTTCACCGGTCTCTGAGCATGTGCACCAGTGTGCTTTAATATGATAGTCCCAAAACATTATTTGTTATCTAGCGAGTAATGAGTTGGTCGGACCGTTGAGGGAATAACCGCCCCCGTTGGGGTGGAAACTTCCGCGTCCCTTGGAAGATTATCACCGAATGGTGAGATGGCATCTCCACGGCGCCGTTAGCACACCTTCTCTGTTAGTCGGACACACGTTGAGGTAGTCACTGATCGTCTAACTGTCTCAAATCTATCACAGATACGTGAAATTTCATTGTTTCACAGCACTGTGTTTAATCACTGATTTCCTTCCTGAAACGTAGCAGTGGCCCCGGAAAGATAGTATGGCAGAGCCAACTATTGCATTGCACTCATTGATGAAAAAGAGCTGTTTTCTTAGGGTTGAGCGACGATTTCATTGAGAAACAGTCACTTTATTGGAAAAAATGCCGCGGGTAAAGTGATTGCATCATTATTGATAATTTATATTGAATAGATACAAAGAAACGCCCACATACATTGAATGGGAATCGAATAAATAACTAACTCGCTGAGAAAACAAATTATTGAATAGATGTGAATGTGTAAATGCTTTTCATAATTTTTCCAAGCCAATTTGATCCTATACTGTGCATTTAATGCACTTTCTTTGCATAGGTTTTATGAGAGGAATCCGTTAACTTCTAATCAGTGCTTCAACTGACATCCAATCGCAACTATTAGCCTACTCTATCAAAACCACTCGTTGCTTTATTGTCGTAACTCTTCGTTCAACAAAGACCTGGTCTGGTTATGGGTAAACACTGTCTTGGCACTTGCTACGCAACGACTCAATACTTTGAAGTCGCAGAAGCATTTAGTGTAGGGATTGCTCTTGAATTTGCCCCGATGTCAGGGCTTCTTGCCTTTATCTAGGATCGAGTTCTAAGAGTAAGAGCTGCAGTAAAGTACACGTTCAGTTCTGGTCTCAATCATTCACTCTCGCTGGTCTTGACTTGCGTAAGCAGAGCCTTTAACGGTAGCCTGAGTAGAGCTGTTCGACGCGCGTTCAGGAGGCGACGCGGCATCGAGGGCGCGCCTGCGAGCGCACGCCACTGAGAGCACGCGGATGCGCGCGCGCGAAAGAGGAGGCGGACGCACACCGGCCAGGCAGCCAATGGCAGTGTTGGCTGATGAGAAAAATAGGCTCGATGCACACGCTTAAGCTTGGACAAGCAATGCCGCCACCTCGCGCTCTCTCTATCTGCGAGTTTTGTTTACTCACAATAAGGAGGCTATGTATGCGCTGGGTTCCTAAATAGCACGAACCGGTTTGCATTACTAAGGAGATGGCACTTACGTGATGGAGATTATTCATTGGTATCCAAAGTTTAACAAACCGTAAATGCTAGATCACCAAAGCTCATTCGTGCTATAATGGGCAATCTTTTTGGCGTCCATTTAATTTTTGAATCTAATTTATTGATAAAGTTCAGTGACAAGCCGTCAACTGCCCACTCAAATCACTTTCGTCATTTCAGGCACTTTTTGGAAGCTTGACATTGATGTCTTTCTGTTTGGTTTATTTTACAGCAGGGTATGGTGCGTTTGCAGCCGGGAAAACCAAAATAACAAATCATGTGTAGACATCGTGAAAGAAGTTAAGGAGTTAGGTCACTGATATTGTACCACAGACGTATTTGCTTCAATTGTCCATCTGATTATGTGGGCTTTTTAGCCCCTCGTGGTAGTACATTCACGCTAATGGCATGTGTCCAGCTCATCCGGGCTTGTTTACGGGTCTACTAAAAGTATGTACGGTAGCTATGCCATTACGAGGGTGAAAGATTCAAGACATTGAGGCCTTGAAACCTGCTGAAAACCGTCGTTAATACAGCTGAAACTGCCTAAATGCATCTGTGATATTTAATCCATGCATTGTCTGCAGTTATAAGAAAAGATGACGAGTTCTAACCCAGACCTTTGGTCTTTTCAGCACTCAGTACACCACACAAACCTACAGACTGCCCCTTTTGTCATCAGACGTCACTTTTGTACGCCCTGTAGTAATAACTAACAGACCCATAAATGTCTGCTTTCGGAAACACTCGCGAATTGCTTGCTACTGAGCCGTGGACAGGGCGGAGTGGAAGTGCATGAGACGACCACATGCCGTGGAAACCGTGCCGCGATGTGATGCGCGTGTGTGGGTCCGTGCGCGGCCGCGAGGGCAGAGCGGCCGGTGAATCATCCGATAGCGCTGCCCGGCCATGGGACCGAAATGACGCTGTTCGTGCTTCCTACACATCCGCACAAGTTCATAATTTTCCCCTTTTTACTAATCATTGGGAATGAGAAGGAGGCTGCGAGGCATGTACTATTTCGGCCAGAAGAAACGGTTTGGGAAGGCAAGGTAGCTCGATTATCTCGGCGATGAGGTCTCTCCTAACGTAATTCATCCTACAGATGCTTTGACTTGGGGCAATTAGAATAATGTCATTTTCAAATCCCTAAACACATACTAAATCATTTTAACACATTATAAAAGTTTTTTTTGACTCTCCGTGTATGAAAGCCTTCTGCATTGCCCTAAATAGTTGCACTTTTATCGTCACCTTCTAAGCTACCTCAAAGAAAATAGTTTACACTTTTGATAGAGATAAAGGATAATCCAAATGAAATTATAAAATGAAAAGTGTTGTGACTATGACGCTATGTGAAACTTGACCTACTCGAAATCTGATGTCAGTGCACACACCAACAATCACAAATTAGGAAGAAGTGTGTGCCCAGTATTTTGAGCAATTCATCAATAGCTTTGTCAACTCAGTATCCTCTCATAAAATGACGAGATTTTCCCTAGTACAAAGTTACTAATGACAAATTTCATTGTAGATATAACTTTCAGACTGACTCACCACGCCTTTCTTCAAAGCCCACCATTTTTTACCAAGTTCACTCCCATTTCAAAGTAGAAAATAATCGCGATGTATACTCATCCTCAGTGGACAATCAGTAGGGCATACTGAGTGGAGAAGAAATATGAAATAATGAAGAAAAAGAGTGAGAATTAGACACCTCTGAAGCACCTGTTTGAGGCAAGACTGCTATATTATGGTAGAATTCAGGGATTAACAATGTGGGATATTTTGGCTGTGACGGATATAGGAAGGAGACTCGCCATAAGCGCAGTTTGTAGTCTTAAGGTGAAGGATGATTGAAGAGCTGCTCGGCGAGATCACCTGCTTTGATACGTCATAAAGTACTTCAATTGAAGGCGCCAAGACGGAGCATAGATACTCTTGAACGCCAAAGGAAAGTTAGTGTGCAACGTAGGTGACATCTGGGGGGCGTTTGTAATGAAATGGGGACGGTTGTAAATCACGCTTTTGTAGAATCGCTAGCCAATCAGAAAATTACTTATTCAATGTTTGGGTTTGCTAAACTACTCAAAATCTATTTAAGCTTATAAATGATACCATGGAGGTTAAGAGAATTTTAAGGCTAGAGTGCGTTTGCACTCACTTTTGTGAAAAGGTTGCATAAACTTGTGACCTTTGTTCCGGTGACAAGTGAGGCTTGTTGTGGTGTTTCGGTGCTCTATACATAGGATGATGAATTACCCAAAACATCCAAAGCTCAAGTAAGTGACCTCATTTCACGCATACAAATGTCAGAGACCACCTTGAAAACGTTTTCACTCACAAACTGCAGTAACTGTTTTCGCACATCATACGTGGAACACGGGTCTGCCTCCCCTCACTGCATTGGCTACTCATGAGATCACCGAGACGCCCGTTCAACCCACACACCGTGCGTACGACACGGTGCGTGCGTGCACCTGGCCAAGGTCGTCGCATGACCATTGGCTATTCTTGGTCTGCGATTTAGTAAATTTCTTAGTTGACTCACCGCCGCTTTCTGGGTGTGTCTGCTGTAGGATTGACCATTCACATCCGGCGACAACCTCACTGCCTTGTCTAGCAGCATTCAACATACAAAAGCAGCGACGTTAGCGCCTTAGTGTGTTGAAAGGAGCGGACATAGTGGTCCGTGCACTTTCGAGATCCTGAAGTAAGGAAGCTTTGTGTGTGATAATATACTATTCCGTAAGGATTTCATTTGAGTGTGTCAAAGGCATGGTATCCTCAGCACTTAAAAAATAATGTCCGTATAAGTGCAATATTTTGAAACTTTGGGAAAATTAGGTGGTCTGTGTGTCAGGCTCGAAAACTTCACGACGTTAATAACCCTCTCAGTAGGATTTGTATTTCTTTGGGATTGCACATTTTATACTTACAAAAAAAGAAAGGTTGGAATGATGGAATAAGCGAAATCGACAAAACTGCGGACTCCAGATGGGATGGCCTTCGTCTGGCATTCTACTAATACTATGAACAAAATCCAGCTAATGCTGCAGGCAAAGCGAGTTAGGTACCTGCATGCTTAAATTTCAGGTGAGGGCGAATAACATGCAGAGAGAGCGTCATCGTTTTTGTTAGGATTTAAATTAGCCAGTCTAGCTATTTAATAGATGTTTCTCAGAAATGATGGAATATGGTGGATTATCGAGCACCTAAATGCATAAACATTAATTGAGGCCTTAGTTCCGAAGGCAAGAAGTGAATGCTGGAGAGCCTATGATGCAAACAATTATTTAGATGGCTTTATCTTTTAAAAAAGTTAGTTTGTGTTGCGTAAACTATCTCATCTTTTGATAGAGCTGGAAAAATTCTTGAATTGGTTGAATATAGTTGATGTGACAATCGCCGAAACGGGGATATTGCAAAGTCAACATCTACGCCTTAAGCATGTGAAAGTAAAAGTAGCTCAGTGATGGGGTAATTCGTGCGAGGACTGTAAAAATTGCCGTCATGCGGCTCCTAAGACGGGGTAGGGGGAGATGCCTTTGACCGTGAAAGAAGTAAGACATGACAAAGCGAGGCATAGAAGGAAGTCGACAGTCCAAGCTAGTAGGCTCAACCGAGAGGGACCGACCGCCAATTGTGGGAGCAAAGGGGACAGAAACGCGAGCAAGTGTGATTCACCCGCCGGTAGGTGTGACTCATATCGTCAGGTGACCTGACTGTGTATGTGCTTTATGGCTGTGGGTGCGCGTTCTTTCCTAAGGGAATAAAATGCAGCTACAATGGTTAATATGGCCTAATATTGAGTGGTAAAGACAGTTACGTAGTCCTCATTTCTTCGATACATAAAAGATTTGGTGCGTTGCGATAACACCTGGCCTTTGTCGATCTTGATATTTTATTTGCTAAGCATTTTACATTTGGAGAAGAGTGTACTAGTACCTTGAAATAGTAAGAAATGTGGTTTGTCAAGTAAAATAGAAAAGGGATTTCAACAAGAGGTTAGTCCGTGTAATTAAAAGTAAATGGGGTTATTCTGCGGCTGGGAATTTGTACTTTCGTAATGGTGCATGAAATATAAAATACAACACCTCTAGCCCACACAGACTAACTACTTATTTTTTTAAGTAAACAAATAGTTAAAGTAATAATGAAATCTGCTGAAATACTGCCAAATTTTTACGCTTTTCACTTGAGGTGCAATTTTGAATGAAGTTGATCGATGGCACATAGTAGGCTGGCTTGTTACAAGACACAAACAAAAGACTCACCTGATGTTGTGGGCTGAAATCGGTATTGCGTAGAATAGCATTCGGACAATGAACTACACACACTGGAATGACCTCTGTCCATTAGACCGCACAGCCAATCGCGTGTTTTTTGCCCTCACAGTGGCAGTAAATCACTTGTTATCAATCTACGCGATTATTTTGAGCATAACATTTTTCATCAAAATGGCAACACTTAAAAAGATGGGCACTGGGATAATACAACGCTGGTCATGCTGTTGTGCGATAGCAGGGATGATGCCAATTTTGGTACAGAACTGCATCCAAATTGCGCAGAGCTCACAACTCAATGCGGGTAACATCACCGATGTGCACTCCTTCGCTTGGACTCGACCCTTCACCTTGGCGGTACAATTCCTCCGCAACTGGATTTATGTCTGTGCTGCCAGCATAGAATGCTATCTCTGCAAAGGCAAGATTAATCGCAAAATCCTGCGATGGCTCAGTCTTGCCTTCTATGCACAAGTGGTTACCACCCTCCTATTTAGTGGTCTCTTCCACTGTGCCCTCGTAAAATGGTACCCATGTCATGCAATAGCATGCACGGGGGACTTCAACGATTTGCCAATAGTATTCGTAGTCCCGGACAGATCGGTGAGCTTTGTGGGGGTATTCACAGTTCTCATGAGTACCCACTTGCTGCCGGCGTTCGTCCTTGTAGTAATGAAGGTAGTGACAGTGCACCATGTTTTAACCCTACCCGCTAGTGATAGGGGGCTGGACACACGATGGTCCTTCGTCTCTACGTTTATCCACACAGCGGTAGCGGTGTGGGGTTTGGCTGTAGGGTTGTTGGTGGGAGAGATGGTGACTCCCTGCAATCTGGTCTGGGCGTGGACGAGCGTGGCGGCGTTGGCAGACACGATGACAGTGATTTTGTTAGTGGGTGCGGCGAAGATCGAGGCCACACTGGCGCGCGCAGCCCACATTAAAGGAGCCGCCAAGGATCTCGGAAACGTTCTCCACGTCTACCTGCGCTCCTACCTCTGCGAGTACTGCCTACAGACTAACAGGATGTTCGTTTTCAGATTGGGTAGGCAATAATACAGGCACCTATCGACTTTCGTTCCAGGATTCTGAGAACAGCCTCAATGGTGGGAGTCTTGATTTTTAGCAACGTTGTGTAACTTAACTCAAAGTAACGACAAATGCTTGCTTGGCAACTGTTCTACATAATGAAAGTCTAATTATTCATTAGCACTTCTGTGTGAATAGAAATTTTCAAAAACAATAGGCGTTTACAATTAGGGCTAACCTTTCCGTGGCAATTTATTCAGTGATAATCTATCGGCCTCACAATGATATGCCAATATTTTTTTGACTATACCTAAGAAATGCCAAGCCAATGGTCTATCTGTACTTAGTAACGCCTCGCCTTTCAAAGTGAGTATTTCTATGGGTCCTACATGAGTCATCTCCGGATGAAATGTCGCACACCCTGAGGAGTTTGCGAACGATACATTAGCCAAAAAGTTGGCGATATGGGAGACGGCCAAATCTCCAGCTACTTTTAAGGTTCTAACCTTTTCCGTAAGCCCACTGTACCATAAAAGACGGCTAACTACATACTTTAATGCAGCTAAGGTGAGGTAAATTCGATCTTTACTAAAGAATCTACGCCCACAAATACGAACAAAGTAGACACCGACGTCCCAGCGGCTGGTCACCGTGAAATGACGGAGATCAGAACTACTACGCAAACTAATACCTAAAATACTGCACTAACTACTAGGCAAACCCGAGTAACATACTAATGATAAGAAAATAACTAAGGCAATAGGACAATTATCTTAAAAAGCACCGCTAAACCATCGATCTTCAAACCGACAAGAGCATTCAATCAGATCCGACCGTAAACAATAAAGATAATAACAAGGATAAAAGGAATTCAATTTATATTTTGGGAGCACCGAGAGCCATTGGCATCTTTTCGATAGTGACCCGATGATTGTGAATGTACATGATCGGTACGCCGGTGATCTTGCGAATTCGACGTCGGAGGTCACGATCACATGTGGCGACTATGTAGCAGCGCGCCTGACACCGTTCGACCAGACAGTCGTCAGCATACGTTCCCTTGTGCTGACAGGTCAAACGCTCTATCCGGGGATCGCGGAGAATTCTGAGATTGAAAAAGCAGTCGTCATCAAAATCACGACAATATTAATAATCAAATAAGAAATTAAGGCTGAGTGAAGATTTTAGAAAGATTTTTGACATCTATAGCTTGAATAGGTCAACTTAATCATGAGGCCTAGGCAGAATAAAAGGGGGAAGCTAATAAGAGAGTGAATAATCATAATATCATAGAAATAACTTAATTAGAAGTTGTGAAATTTAGGTAGTTTTAATATAACCATTAAACGTTTTAATAAGATTGTGCTTAGAACGCGTGACCAATGAAAACAACCGTGAATCCAACGTCAACCTTACTAAAAGTTCTTCAAAATTAATTCAACCTAGGAAAGTGCCCAATGGATTACTGTCTAAGGTACCAGACAAAAGTTAATATCTTCTCAAACGGGTGAGCCTATACTGAAACGAATAAAATGTGCCTTGACTCAAGAGTGTGTCGGGCAAACCAACCAAAACCTGCCTTAAAGCAACCCGATATCTTTCAGGCATCTTCTCAATTTCACCCATAACGCAATCTGTCACGTAGAGAAAGCCTATGAGCAAAGAGATAAGCAAATATGGACAAAGGGCTTACACTTCGCCAATAGACAGTCCATTATAGAGCTGAACAAATCGAGTCTGTTTTTAATGCTGAAGTTCACGTAGTTTGTGTCGAGGAGAATGTGGTATGGAGGACCAAGAGCCTCATTGTAGGAGTCCCTTAAGCAGGAGACCAGCTCGCTCCTATTTTTGACCACCATGCGAGTGGCCGCCTTAGCAGCCTTCTTGGCCTCCCGCAGCTTATCGCGGTCAAGTTTTTTACTTATAGAAGAAGCCTTAAAAAAAGCTAGGAGCACAACCTACATTCTATTGTCCTTTAAGTTAAGTGTTTTCTTCATCACTGCAAATTTGCGAGTTTGTTTCCGCTTACCCATTCCGACCTTAAGATCTGGGACGACAAAGCGCAAGAAAGAAAGAGATATCTATTACACATGAGTAGAAAAAAAGCACAGGAAGGTGACTGCTACTCGATAAAACAGCTCTTCATGAGTTACAGAAGAAAAGCAAGTAGGTTGACATTACCTCACGTCGCGTAACAGTTATAAACTACTTACGAAAAAAACATACATAGAAACAAGAAAAGTTGAGCCAGTTCAAAAATCTCAAAGGAAGGCGGATACTTGACACCTGAAAAAACGAGAAGCACAACAGAAGTGGCCTTTTGGGCTAACTGAGTTAACCAGCCCCCAAATCAAAGGCTAAGTCATGATAAAATCCGTTTTGTATTTTAAAACAAAGTAAGTTTGATCGAGTCAACTTATAATTATTTATCTGTAAAATGTTTTTAAAGAAATAATAAATGGTTTTACTTTGCACCTTGTATGGCGGCATTATTTTGAAAAAGCGCGCTTGACGCGATGAAGCCGTACGATGAGGGCGTGGACTATGGGGCAACGCCTGGGGTAGATGACGTAAACATATTTCTTTGATTTGTGAATTTTATACATCTAGGAAGGGACGCAGCTACATTGTGAACCTGAAAGTCCAGATGCCCAGTGGGATTTCATGAATGGTGCGTATTCATTACTTCTATTTTATGTAAGGGGATGAGTCAATGGAACGGGTAACATTTTTTAGTACTTGGTATGTCCTTAGCGAATGCTCTATTCTTGACACATTGCGTGCATGCATGCACTATTAAGGGGAGGTATTTTGGTCAGCGCCTGGATGCCATTCTATTTCTGAGGGTAACAAATACGTGCTGTCTTGTTTACTTTGTTGTATTGAACCTAGTTTCTTTGTGTGAGGCAACCCCATATTTAACTTTGAGGCGCTTGATTTTTTTTCGGTAAATTTTTAGATTTCGGCTATGACCCGTTTGATGATGAAGATCTCGAGTGAAAAAATGCGTATTTACTGCTTTTAGATGCGATAACTGAGTCTGCTCTGTAAAAATATACCACTTTCGCAAGACCGATTTTTCGTGTGTAACCTCGTTGGTTGCTTGAACTGGAATTGTTCCACTCACCATTCGCATAATCTTGTGGTTAATTTTTGGTGATTATTACCATAGTTGACCTATTAGCAAATTTCGCTTGGTTTACATTTCGTTAGACAAGTATGTTATGGGCATCGGCAAGCATCATTTCTCGGTGCTGATGTCCTTTGGCCTTCGTCGCAGGCACTGACTACCTGTTTTGTTATTAAACCTGAGTCTAGCCTACGTTTTATAATAATGGACAAATAGGGGACTTAAAGGTATCATCGTAGGTGAATGATGTATTCAAGTTGTGGTATGGATCTTCACGACGAGTTCCTGCCATCATTGTGGTAGCCATTGTTTTGAGCACTTTCGGCAGTTGATTGTCTCCTTTTTAGCTGTCACAAAGATCAATGAAGGTGGGAACTTTAGAACGCCTACGGAGTGCATTGGTAAGGGGGAAACTGGATGCAGGTTATCTCTGTCGTTTCCTGCTAAATAGAATCGAAATAGATAAGTCCGCTAGCCTGGAAGGCCGGTTAGCATCTGGTCTCGCTTTGCCTACCACCAATTCTGTCATCAGTCATTCCACAGAGCTTGCCCCCCTTTCCTCTTTCGGACTTCTGGGTGGTATACCCTTCTTAGCCAAAGATAACTTCTGTATTAAGAGTCGAAACGCCACCACGTGTGCGTCCAAGGCTCTGCATAACTACTCACCACCTTTCAACGCATCAGTGAGTTAGTACCATACTTTGTGAACCTCACGCTTGCTTCAGATACTATAGTTTGTCTTTCATTATCCCAGGTTGTTCAGGCCCTGCTAGATGCCGGTGCTATCTGCTTGGGCAAGACCAATATGGATGAATTTGCGATGGGCTCGGGATCAACTGATAATACACTGCACGGGCCCGTGGTGAATCCCTGGTCACCCTCTTTACCTGCCGATCCTTGCATTGCGGGAGGTAGCTCCGGGGGTAGCGCAGCAGCGGTGGCTGCTGGTTTGGCTCCCTTCGCTCTTGCTTCTGACACGGGCGGGTCGGTGCGAAATCCGGCGGCTCTGTGCGGTGTTGTGGGCCTCAAACCCACCTATGGGCTGGCATCGCGTCAGGGCATGATCCCGCTTGCTAATATCATAGATTGTCCCTCCATTATGGCTACTCGAGTTGCAGACGTTGAAAGGGTGCTCTCCACTTGGGTCCAACCGGGGAGTGCGGCTAGACGCGGGGACGCTACTCTGGCCACTATCCAACCACCTCTTCTGCCTGATTCACCCCGCATCGGCATCCCCAAGGAGTACTACGCGCCCGGGATGGCCCCAGAAGTGGTGGATGTTTGGGATCAGGTGGCATCGTGGCTGGCGGATGATTTTAAGCTATCTGTCGAGTCTGTGAGCCTTCCTCACACACCCATTGCAACTGCGGTCTACTCTGTCCTGTGTTCAGTAGAGGTAGCATCCAACATGGCACGGTAATTGACCGTAAATTCATCACTCCGTGATAGTCGATCAGGGTGAAGTAACGCTCTGCTCTGCATACGCAGTTACGACGGCCTTCGATATGGCCTGCGGGCGGAACCCACCTTGGAGATACGAGAAGCACTGACTGAACTGAATTTGGACACCTCGGATGGTCTGGCGGCGGGGTCTCGGCGGCTAGGCTTTGGAGAGGAGGTGCGTAACCGCATACTGGCGGGGAACTTTTTCCTACTTCGTGGACAAAGACACCTGCATCTGGATGCTGCTCGACGACTCTGGCGTCTTATTAAAAACGACTACATGGAGGTTAACTTTCTTTACAGCTTTATTAAAAGTCTCATCCCCGACTACCGAAACAATGTCAGGAGGTAGATACACGTTTAATGTTACGACCATAGAGCTTGAAGAGTTAATACAGCACATACTTGCAAACAGCCACACTTTACAATACGTTTGCGCGCTGGCCCTAGAACAAATGATCCAACTCTGCCGAATGCACAGTTTAACGAGGCGGCTTCTCATCTTCCAGGTCTTCACTAAAGTGGACTTCCTGTTAGCTCCAGTGACTCTACGTCCAGCGCCCAATCTGCATGAGTTTTGCCAAATGGACAGTCGTTCTCGAATCGCCCGGGAGGATCCTTGCACAGTTGGAGTTAACTTAGCGGGTCTCCCAGCGATCAGCATTCCAATTAAACTGAGTGCTGAGAAGAGACTCCCAATAGGACTGCAGCTCATCGGTCCTCCGTGGTCTGAAAAGGACCTACTTTCACTTGCTGGACGCATTGAAGAAAAAGCGGATTTCCCTCTACTTGTGGATATACCATCCCTCTTAGACATCAAGTAGCGCTCCAAAGATGCACAACTACCTACCCAGAGAATAAAACAATTTCGACAGATGGAATTTATTCGATGACATATGTACAAGCAGTGAGACATACCAACAATGAGGTCCTCACCTAGAATAAAATCATGTTGTTGCCTTTGTATTGCGGAGATACCGAAGAATATCGGCAAACATATAATTAACTTATTAGAATAACTGTGCAATATTTATTAGAGTCACCCGCAAATCACATATATTTTAACTAAATTAACCTTAATGCCGGAAGACACTTACGCTTTGCTCCTATCCCGAGATTGGTATTCAAGGCCCCTGCTTCTAAGATGGTCTATTCTGCTCTTCGGGAGCCTTCCAGAGACACTCATTGCATAAACACCCGGTGTTAATTTGTCTATCCTCAGCCATCGTGCAACCCAGCTCTCGGGAGGGTTCATCATCGCCACCATTCCGTCGAAGTTATTCGAAGTGCACTCGTAAACAGACTCCCGGTCTCCTTGAAGGTTTAGGTAGTCCTCACAGTTTTCGCAGCCATTCATTTCGAATTGAGACATCGTCTTGATAAGTCCACACAGTAAACAAGCTCGTAGATGACGCAAGTCAGTAGGCACTATGTGTTGCATGTCCATGATGACTGATAAATGGGGTAGAAGTGGAACACGATCTCGTATAGTGCGGACAGGGTGGACTAGTTAAAACAAACGTTGATTTAACAGTGAAAGTCAAACTAAGGAGGACACAAAAGACATTAAAGCTGTAAACTCTGCCTTCTCTAAGGCGAATACGTCAGCTTAACACATTTTTAAAGATTAATGTGAAAATTTAAAATTATGGCCTTATACAATGTAAGTACTCTTAAAACAAATAACTGCAGCAGTACCGGCCTTCATTGAAGTCATTAAAACCGCATTAGTTTGTAAAAAAACTTTACTGACGTGGGCAGGAAGCCCTGTCAGGTCTTCTGTACCAACCATCGCAACGGTTGTTGTGGCCTACAAATAACCCAAGAGACAAGGACGGTAGATGCTAGTTTCATTCAGATGCGAAAACATTTGGTTTCAGTATCACTGATGCATCTATGTGATTCTATTGTATGTGGAATTTCATTCTATCTGGAGATATACATAGAGAGAGGGTAACTGCACTGGCTTGGGATAGTGCTCCACAACAAGGGCTATTCGAGAACCAGTCGAGAGCAATAAGGACAATGGCTCAAACCAAAGCCATCTGGCAAAAATAAAACTCAAAGTACTTAACGGGTCAATATTAGTTATCTTCCTGTCCTTGTATAGCACTGTTCGGCCGTTCCGCCTGGTTTTATTCAGTTGGTAGGGATGTTGAGGGGGCATCGTTTGTTCATCTAATTAGCATCGTCATTCAGGCACCGTTGACACTCCAACAGTGAGTTTGTCTGAGTTGTTTAAGACTACAACTTACCTTAGCGTCTAGCCTTCTTACACAACACGAGAGTGAATTGATAATCAGGAGTAGGGCCTACTCTGATCCCTCTGTTAAGAGCCTTCGTAGAATCAGCCAGCTGCAGCGGATTTCCTCCTTCTGCGAAGCAACGGTTTAGCGATAAGTCAGTTAAATTAGGGCATTTGTTCTTATGAATCAGGTTTAATTTTTTGCTGCTGCCAATGCGGTGCCTCGAGTCTTCCTCAAAGTAATAGAAGGCTCTCTTAGTATGGAGAAGGGCTGATTGGCAAGGTACGGAAGAGGTGAGGGTGGGGGGCTATGATAACGGCGAAAACCATCGCCAAGCGAAAGCATAGCCATCGGCGTCTGAAAACCCCGCGTGGTTAAACGTGCGATTAAACAAGTCACCGGACCTCTAAAGAGTATTGTTGCTTGTCATTTTAACTGCTTTTGTAAATTCTCAAACAAGATAGGGATGAAATAATGCTTCAGATTCTCAATTTCTTGGAAATGAATATGTAAACAAGAAATGAGTTAATGACTAACAGATGTATATTTAGTAATGAAAACGTGCTGGCTATGATATTTTGTATGCACTCATATACCACTATTAGTGGTTAAATTTTAGGAAAAACGATCGGGTATGGTGGATTTAGATTTGGTTGTTTAGCTACTGGCTTTGGTAAGGGGACCATTTTGGGCCTTCGTCGGGTGGACAGGCTCTCGGGCCATGTCAGTAGCCGCAGCCCCTTTTGTATGTCGAAGATACATATATATTCTGCTCGTGTATTGTCTTCTCGCGTCTTCAGTGAAGTCTTGGGGCACTGCAGTAGCTCCTGAGTCTTGCCTACTGTTAAGAAGTCATAATACAAGGGGGAGGAAAGTGTGCTACTGACGTAGAGAAGGGCTGAAGGTTATCGGCTTGGCCTGGAGGCTATGTCGCCCAGCGCGGGCACAAAAGCGAAGCCTTCTGTACCCCTCGAAATCAAAACGAAGTGTTAAGCAAATAATCAAAGTTTCACAAATAAATCATCAACTTTCTATGATCGAAGCCCCCTCACAACGTAATTATTAAGAGTATTTAGTTTCCTAAATAAGTTTTGACTAATGATTAAAATTTTAACGCATAAAAATTAGGTTATAGAATTTGCTGGAATCTTTACCAATTTTCGTTCTTTAATCAGATATTCTTTAGCATAATCATTGCGATTCTTCAGTTATTCGTTTTCTATTCATCAGTCATAAGACCACAAATAATCAAATAGACTTCCACACTTTTATTTCTCGCATTTTCACTAGATTAATGAATATGACTTCAAGGTAAACCGTTGTCTGAAACTTTTTTGCAACCACAATTCTATTCATTCCTTGCTGGATTTATAGAAGCCTACAACGTTTGCCTCTGCTAACAGCTGCTTGAGTTCCAGTGAAGTGTATGTAAAAACGTATCGCTGAAAACTATGGCTTCCATCCTATTTCGCATTTGTTGCAGTGATATTTTTGGACAAGGCTAAAAATGGTAAAGGAGCAAAAGGGTAGTTCTTGAGGTGAGATCTGCCAATAAAATTACATGTATCTAGCCGATTATCAATGTGTAACCCTTAAGCCTTCTCAGAAACAGTAATAAAGTATAGCTACGTAAAAAGTGGTTTATCACTGACGTACGGAAGAGCCGAATTGCTGCGATAGGAGGCCAACCTGAGAAAACTGAAGAGCCGGCACAGTCAAATATGCATTTCAATCATCTTCAGTACAATATAAGGACGCAAACTAACTTTACAAAGTTCTTTTGCGGTATACTTTAGTTCCTGAGTATCAACCGCCATTTACAGTTATGCCTTTTATGATACCTCAGTAAACTGAGGCAGAAAGTGAGTTTTGGCATTTTTCTGCTTTCACAATCAACTCGATGACAATTTCCCCTTAATCGTAACTTTTTGCATTCCTTTCACGGCATGTTTTGTCTGACCAGTATTGAGACAAAATTTCGATACCATTTTTGACGAATCTAAAGGACTTCATCTCCGTAATTTTCTAAAAAACCATTTAACCGTCTACCATAGTAGGGACGTCCGATTAGTAAGATTTCACAAATTTTAGCACTTTTAGTGGCTAGGACCATTTACATATTTAGAAATGTCAAAACCTCTTTACAGGTTACAAGTGATTGAGCGTCATACACAATAATGTAAATTTCCAGTGAGTGTTGGTGTAATCTTATTCAGAAATAATCAAGAGCAAACTGAGTAAAGTTGGGAACTTAGGCAAGCTGCGTTCTCACGATGGGAAAAATGCATTAGTTTACTTGTAATGTAGGTAAGTATAAGTGGATTATAATAGGGGCAAATATAGATAATAGATGGATAGATATAGGTAATAAATAGAAACTGCTTCGATTAAGCATTATTGTAATGCGTTGGCTGTTTGCCTAATTCCATATTTTGGTAAAGGAGTCGTTTAGGTGTTCCGCCATTGCACCTTCTCCCGGTGGGTTGGCCCCCAGGGAATGCCAGTAGCCGCAAGCCCTACCGTTGGGACATGCAGATTAAAGTTTTTTTTCTAGGGCTATGCAATGCAGTGCTTTTCAGTCCAATACATTTCACACTTATCATGCTCATAATTTTACAGTTTTACATGGTATTTAAGATAAGTGGGGGGGGGGGGGTTGATTAAACTAGGCGCATAATGAATTCGCGTTTTTAAAGTGTCGAAATACAACCCTTCATTGTCAATCGTAAAGTCGACAACAGCATTCTCCCGTGAAGATTTAAACATTCCAAGAATAACTGGAAGGCAGTGAAATCTGTTTATATTTTCATGCTTTCGAGACGTCTTTTGAAGGGCGACGCCCATTTTAGTGAGCTGATCACTAGATGGGAAGTAGAATACCAGGCAAATCTATCTTATTATAAGAAAATGCAATTAAGCCGCTGCAAAATATTATTTTAAAACACACAATGTGACACATTTTTTAAAATAAATTCAAGTTATACTGCAAAATGTTTTAATTTCAGCTAATACAAAAGTACTGAGTGACGAGATCCGCGGTTTATTTTCGTGTCTCGAAGATAAACCTTGTGGTTTTGAGCATGGTGGGTTAATCCAAGTCAATACTCCTGATCAGAAACATCGACACCCTTAAGGATTTACCACTTTTTTTTATCTTAGTGAAAAACACATTGGGAGGGATTCTCCATAATGCTGTATTTACCTTACTGAATTAAAATAATTTTAGTTCCCTCCGTGAAATTCCAATCCACTGCAACGGACTTCTCTCGGTGTAGGTTCTTCATTCTCTATTGCCAGGGCCTAAGAGGAAGATCAACCACCACTAGGTGTCTTACTGCTCTAGTGCGACACCGTTTTTTTATTTTGTCTTTTCACCTTCTTCTTTCTATCAAATGTGTCACTTGTGCAACCCGCAGCTGGCAACGGTTGTGGTAAACAATATTGGCCAACTATGTCCGAAACTGTTAGAACTTTTATATCGAAGAGAAAAAGCCTTACCTACAAGGACAACCAAAGATAACATCTTAATAACCGCCTACCATCAATGCAGGTTGCGGTGTTAGCAGAAACTTCTGACACACACAAAAGTGATTTTGGAATGTGCGTCCAGACTTAGTTTTAAATTAGGCTGACGCAATTATGGTGATTTACGTTAATTGTTAGCAACGGGAACTGATAGCTTAACTGTCAAGAATGATTTGACTGTTTTCAAGAAACAAGCGATGGGTGGAATCCTTAGCTGCGGAGGAAAATGAAATTTGGGTACTAAAGCATACGACGCCTTCCGCTAACAATATTGCTTTCACCTAACGTCTGAGTCTCATGGAGAACGAGTAGTGGCCTGCGCCTTAATAGTTGCCAACAAAAATAAGGCCATTCTAAAGTGAATAAAGGCTCGTTTTGGTCACACAAAGGGAGTAATCTTATCAGTACTTACAAAATGGACCTTTACAAAATGACCGTAGCTAGAATAATAGGTGACTCTATTACCAACTTTTGAATAAATTCAGGAATCCGTAGGCACCGTGTGACTTTTAGGTCAGGTTGGTGAACCACCTTGGCGATAATGAAGCCGCTGTTTGCCCTCTCTCAAGCCCTGGCTTCATGGAATTTGAGAAGAATTAGTTCTTGTAAATCGCTGTTGTTGTTAAAGATGTCAGTTCGTGTTTCACTTTTAACTGCTCTTCAATTTGCTTGAGACCTCTTATGCAACACGATGCTCATATTTTGAATCATGAATGCCAGAACAACTTTTAAAACAACCATTTGCATATTTCGTGGGTTTCCACGTAAAGCATATAATTTAATTCAGCTATTTAGGGTATTATCGGGCCTAAACCTTATAAAGTTTACTGCTATGGTGTGGAGTACATTAACTTGTAGGTCTGTGAGTCGAAGTGGATTCCACGAAATGGGCAAAACACACTAAGAGTCATTTTTTTCACTAAACGTATTTAAAAGCGCATTTCGATGTCATTATTTGCTCTCAAGTGTCTAAATTAAAGATATCTCAAGGGCATTTAAAGCATCCCCAATTTCACAACAGGGCAAAAGTTGTTACTTGAGCCAGGAAACTACGTTTAGTTTAGGGAAAAATTTGTTTTTATTAAAATGAGGTAGCAGAAAGTTCACCACTTTACAGCTCAGATGAATAATTGCCTACCAAGGCACAGCATCATTAGACATATTGTAAAGCCAATTAGGACTACTAAAATGCGGAACTGATGAGATCCATTTCCCAAGGCAATACGTGTCACGCATGCTAGAAAAAAACGGGCAAATCAGTTTTTTGCACTCATTCTATACTTTCGGTTGTGAATTGTGATCCAGGCTATTTGATTTACGTAGTGTGTGTAGAAGACCATAGGGAAAGTAACTTAAGGAGATTATCATTAAAGCATACTTCACCAACTAGTAATGTGAGAGCTGTTGCGTGCCAGCATAGTCGGTAAACACCCATCAGGTGAAATGCGGGTCCTCTGCTACTCTAATTGGAAGCTTTAATGCAATAAATATACACACAGCCATCGTTGTAAGAAAGCGTTTACTGCAAATTAATCAGTTTCAAAAGATGGGGATGTCTAAACGCGTTCAATCCGTGGCCACACATTTTAAGAACCATATGATGGTGAGAATAGATGGATAGCTAAACAGATAATAATTTTCTGAGGCGTCATACTAAGTGAGATAGAGGAGGAAATTTTGATTAAGTGCTACTGTTATCTCTAGGTGATATTAAATGATCATCGCCGACATCATAATTGCGTCAAGAATTGACCGCTCATTAAACTTTGATCTTGCGTGGTGCAACCTATGCAGACTAAATTGTTCATGGGTTGAAGCTTTAGCCAAATCCTTCGATCAGCCAGTTCAACAGATATTTTCCTAGGTGAATTACCAGACAGGTCTAAACCGTTCAAACTGAGGTGGGTTTTGAATATTTTGGAAATGTGACATTTACAGCCACCCAGTTCCAAAATTGCCAGTTGTGTTCACTTCCTCTTGATTTTAGCCAGCCCATCATGAAAATGCCGAATACATAAAATCTACCTCTTTCTTGATTCTGCTGTCCACTCCCATGTCCAAGTTAGCTAAATTAAGCGGTAATGCAAGTTATTAAACGTAACTGATCATTGAGAACACTAACCCATTTATCGTCCTCTGTATGAGGTTCAAAGGCAGACATGTCAAATCTCGTCAAGCGCAGTTTTGCCTGCAATAATCTATTATGGATGCAAGTGTAGTGGAACAAAAACAATACCAATAGTTGTATACATTTTTATATTTTCAGCTTTGTGTGTGTGAATGTGTGTGCTAATGTGGGTGTCAAAAAGAAGTGACGGTTGTGAGATCGATGAGAAGTAAAGAAGTTTAGGCGAGGAATGCTAAAGGCGTGCCTGATTGAGTTTGTAAGAGAGAGAACAAAAGGCGAGTGAGCCTGTCAACGTGGTACCCCACATGGTGATAACAAATGGTGAGCCGCACCTTCACTTCTGCCTACACAATCATGCAAAACGATCCCTCCATTTCTTCAAACGGAGCCTGATCTTTAAAACCCAGAATTGTTCTATTTCCACCATACTAAGACCATTTTTTACCAATTAAATTGTGTCGTCTGTCAGATGCCGAAATTCCTTGTGCCAATCAAATCACAAATTTGCAGTGTCAATAATAGGCAGCATTTGGTATCGCACTTCATTTCATGGCTTGGAATAAAGTGATACCAAAGACACTTTAGGTATACAAACCTAATTTATGTTTAGTCATATAAATTCGCTTATCCTTCCTTGATTGTAGCAAGGGGGTCTTGATCACATTTACCTCATTCTCCTTCGGTTTTCCTGTATTTTTAAAATGTCATTTATTAAATCTGCATGCTTCACCCACTTATTATATTCCTTTTAATAAAATTGTAAAATTAAGAATACTTAGAGGAGGTAAAGGTACCTGCTTTACATTCTGCAGTGGGTTGCTTGCACCAACTATTTTTAGGCCTACCTTCATGCGTGCTCCTTCCTGAGCTTTACACCATTTTTACCGATGAAGCCTTCGTTGTGAAAAAGTCAATCTTGACGATACAATCTATAATTTTGACTCATCACATCTATCATTTATTTTACAGAATACGTGTAGGCACATATCATTGAATTCAAGCGCCCGGCTTTCCTTTGCGTGTTTGTGTGCGGATATATGCCATAACCTGTGACAAGCTTCATATTGATTCTGGTGTCGGTACCGCTCAGAGCCTGATGGGAATTTTTGATCCTGGTGTTGATACAGGTGCCACTGATGCTGGTCTTTCCACCATTCCATCAACCTGATACAAACAAGCATTCAACCTTTACAATAGTCTCATTTCTCGTGAAACTACCGCAAATTTATTTGTTATTCTTGCATCGACCTAATGAATGTGCTTTCAAAATACTACCCCTTCTTAAACGTCTATTACACTGAACAATGGAATAATCGTGTCTCTGAGATTCAGTGCGATTTCAGAAGCTGGTTCTTTAAAATTGAATAGTAAACATATTGTTGGTTCTAAAATAGTGGACGAGGACCATCTTATTTTTGACCAAAACAAATTCCAGTGATCTTCTAAAAAAGGAGCAAATGAAACCATTTAGAGTGTCTACACTAACGATGGTTTGCAAGAACATTGCACAGTTTGGCCACAAAATTTTATAAGCACATTTGATTGATGAACTACTTTCCACTAACTAGCAAGGCATCATTTGAACGAAGGGAACATTTTGACGACTTAGACGTGTTTAAATGCGACTGAAGTTGCCTAGTTAGGTTTTAAAGACTTCATTTAAATGATAATAGGAATTAAAAGTAACAAAAGTCCTTATTTCCTGATTTTTTTTATTTTTAATAACTATACAATTTAACTAGATGGCAAAATTGCAAAAAATTTGACGTCGTAGTAAAAGGCACACCAAGATTTGAGCGGCTAATCCCTTTTCCATTTTGGAAATTTCCACTCTCACTAAGCTTTCTCGACGCAAGTGTCAAATGCTGATCTCTTAGGGAATAATGTCCCAACCCGAGTTCCCACTAAAGCGATCCCTTTTCTTAGAATAGCATGATGATTTGGTTCATTAAATCACTCGCATAGGGAACGAAGAGACTCCTGGGACCAACTTGGATCTCTCCATTCTAGAAGCACTCAAATAAGTGCTCAAGAACATCACCTTTCGGTGTCATCTAGCGCAGCTTTGTGATACCTACACGAGTGTGTCTATGTGTGTGTGCACAGGTCTTTGTGATTGCGTGTTCAAGCGCGGGTTCGCTGGCAGACTGTAGTAAGACGATGCTAGCGAAAGTGGTGGCGATGTAGGCGGCGGTAGTACTGTGTGTGCATGAGTATGAGTGCGGGAGTGCGTGTGTATACCAGCGCTTAGGCGCGTGTGATCCACCATAAGTGCTTTTGGCCTTAGTGAGAAGTGAAAGAAGTGGGTGATCAGAAGAGGCCTCCCGGCAGAGCAATCAAAAAGGTATCTCCGCCACCGCCGCCACCACTACCATCAACCAAGCAGGCAGATAGGTAGTAGAGGACACAGTGTGGATTGATCCGACAGCTTGACATCCTGTGCGCACGCAATCACACCCGGAGCCAAACATATAGGAGCTTCCCATGCATAGGTAGTATGGCGTCATCCTATGTGGATGGTGATTCTACTCCAGACATCCCACTGGCTCTCGATTCGAAAAAGACTGGCAAGCAATGGAATGAATCGGCTGAGCTCAAACGGGGAAATGTGGTCTCTCTTATCGACGATGGGATTGCCAGAAACAGTGAAAACAAGTAAGTGGCTCTCTTCTTTGTTTACATCCGCATACATATTAGGCGTTCAATGCCCTGAAATCTCATACTTTTCTTTAGCTTCCAATCCTAGATAATGATGCTTAGCAATTGTGGAGGAGGTCATGAAGGGTGTCACTGTACTTTCTAATTTTAGGATGAAAATAACCAAATGTATGAGTTATGCGCTAAAAATTTAGCTAATAACATATCTCCCTTCCCACCACACGAGGCTGCTGCATTGAGTGAAATTAATTGCAACTAATATGATTAGTAGTAAATAGCGGAACTCTCTTTCCATTTTACAAGCTTCAATCGCCTCACTTACCTACCCCAATGAGCTGATTTTTTATAGACTGCAGTAAAGTGATTCATGTGGTACAATTTTCTGCAGATATTTCGCATAAGCGCCCAAAAATTTCACAAGTGCTAACCAAGTTTTAATTTTTTATGGTAATTTTTTGACCTAGCCTATCTTTAAAGACTTTGTCAACGTTAACTTGTAATATGAAACAGCCACTTATTATCATCAAATTGCTTCATCGAAGTTAATGTAGGTGCACAAATGATGGCAGACCAAAACTAAAATCTTGACTGTCTTACCATGCGGAAACTACAGACGTAAAATTAAGAAAAGACCAAATAATTTTAAAGAGGTAAAAAGGAGCTGTGAATTTGATGAGTCCAAGCCCTTAAGATGAAGCAAGGTAGATCCACAAACCAGGGTGAGGCATTTGATTCATTGGTACTTTAAAGAATTATTTCAGCAGTAAAGCAGCAACTTATCACTCCATAAAAAGGGAAAAAATTACGCAAGCATACCTCTTTTAAGCATAATTTTTGCTTCCGTAACGGTTAAATCCAAATCGCCATGCAGAAAATTCCTCACAGGTCTGTTTATAGATAAATTACAAAAAAGAGTCACAGTCAAACATTTTGTGATTCACTTCGCCTTTCCTAATTGGACTTCTTATTAGGTACAATTTCTCCTGACCGCTAATGTTAATAATGAATTGTGAGAGTGCATTAGTGTAGATCCTGATACATTGGAAGGCTCAGGTAAGACATGCGTTACACGAGTTTCATCGTGTACAGGTCGTACTAATTGAATCATTAGATCCACAGAGAGTTCTAGTTAATTACTACAGTCATCCATCAAGGCTTCGCGTCGTTTATCACCAAGTGAAAATTCAAGTGCCACTCAAATATGCGACACGTAGTCTGTTGCATTGTTTTTTGGTGACTTCATTCAATCATCGTCTACTTTTTCTATCCCATTATAAATAGTGAAAAAATGTGTAAATAACTATTCCAAATGAATGTTTATTTCAACCAAATCACTTTACTTTTAAAGGACTGAATTTCCACTACTTTGTAAATATTGCCGCCTTATTTTGTTAGCACCTAGCGCCTAATAAAACTTGGCCAAGGAAAATTAATACCCCTTAACTAAAAGCGGTGTATTTTTCTGTCGTGCGCTGATGTCCGGCTGTAATGAATTCAAATGTCAATGATTTGTGGACTAGGGTATTCTCAATTTTCTTCATATGGGATTTTAGAGACTTTAGTAGTAACGGAACATCCAAACAGCATAAGTATAAAATGGTTATAGCCTAATAAAGTGCACATTTTTTGTGACTGACTACGGAGAAACGACTGATATTTTAAAAGCACACTCATATAAGTTGAAAATTAACTCAGTCAGCTCACAGGAAACCCTAGATTTCCTGTTATTCAACTAAATCTAGTTGTTAGATTTGATAAACTTGCAACCAAATTAACTGACCTAAGAGGCTCCAAGCAAGATCAAATTTTTCCGTCCCTTCATCATAAAGCATTATACTGATGGTTGCTCTCTTTTTTCTATTGATGGAGAAGAACAAGGTCCCAAAAGACTTAGGCTTAACAAATATGGCAAAATATGGGAAAAAAGGTGTTAAATTACAAACAAACTTGCAGCTAAGTGTAAAATTAATTTAATAATCCCGACGCTGACACATTTGGAAACTCTAATCGGAATTTCGCTCCCGCTATGGCAGTAGTCATCAAATGTAGAATGTTTACTTAGACGCTTTGGCTGCTTTAGATTGAAGAAGTGGGAAACGCAAAGTTACATTTTTAACTTTCCTGTTCTTTTAAAATAACTATTCAAATGACTAAACAAGATTTAGAACGAAATTTTCACTCATTCAAGCCACTTTTCTCATCTTAACTAGAACTTAGATTCCATTACATGCATAAACATATATGTATGCAATCATTTGTCAGGTGCTGAAAACACATAAAAGTTATTTTTACATTTCATAAACAAATTCAAGGATAACTCATAGGTGACCAGTAAAATCTCAAAATTTGATTATTTAAGTTCACAAAATTTTCACAAAACTTCAGTAAATAAGTATGGTTCAAGCCACCTGTTTATATAACGAGGTCTCAATTAATGAATGAGAGAAACACAAGTTGCTTCAGTCTCAGGAAGTAGCTACACCACCAACATGATATTTAGTGCCTGTCTCAGCATGAAGTATTGACTGCGGTATCCAGCACCTTGCATTTATCTTGTGTAATCGCCAGTTTGTGTAAACCTCAAGTCATCCCCTAAGAAGTACCATAGGGTCTACCAGTCTGGAAGGAGGTTCAAAATAAACGCACAGGTGGGACGGGTTGGGACATCGACAACCTAGCTGGCATGGGCTGCAGCGTGTAGACCGAGTCGCAAGTGACTAAAAATACTCGAGGGACATAATTTTGCAATGTAAATAAACACTTACCCCTTACAACCAATGATACCTTCTCATGCATACAGATGCTATATTTATTTTGTCTAATTCAAATCAGGGCAAGGCAAGTGCATTTATGCACAAATACAAACTAGATATAGGTTATGGTAGTCTATCAACCCCATTATTCCTTAAAAATGACAAAGGTGTTACTAATTTAGAAAATTAGCAACAAGATTAAAAATCAGGTTATTTCATGTTAAAAATTTTACGAATCCAATGGGTGAATATTACGCAGAACTTGGGGCAAATGACTTTTGTCTGAAAAGTATCAACATTGGACCCATGGAGGGCAATAATGTTTCCTCTTACCCTTGTCGTGTAATACGACCCTAAACGGAACGCTTAAACTAAGATTGCTCACCTCTTCGAACAACCATATTTATTATAACTGTGACTTGTGAAGGGATATATGACAGCTTTTTAAATGACAATGAAGAGGAGTTGTCGTTTATAGCATAACTTCTCTTTTTGCTGGATTGATTAAATAACACAGTCATTCTTCAAGTATATTCTATTACAGCAGCAGTAATGAATTTTGCTCTCACTACAACAAACAAAAACATCACTTATGGGTTTATCCAAGCGTAAAATGAATTTGTGCGTAAAGAGCAGCGAACTGTGTTTAGAGTAAGAATTTTTTATTTTTTGGTATCCATTTGCATCCGACTAAACTTGGGAGAACTTTTCTCGTGGTTCTTTTTTTTAATGAGATGAAGAAGGGCAAAGTTTAGCAGCGCAGAGAAGAAACATTTCCCATTTGTAGTACATATCCCAATTAATTCATGCAAAGAAATGTACAAATATTTTTGCTAAATTGTTATTTCTGTTTCTAGTTACTTTTTACTAAAAAAATTGCAGTAGTATAATCGGGACGTGCCAATTTTCTCTCCTTTTGTGGTTTTCGACCATCGTACTCGACAACTGCATCTTTGAACACATAAAACGAGATTTTCTGCAACCTTACAATACTGCTTCTAATTACTTTGTGAATATAGAACCGACTTAGATGCATTATAGCCTTAGAGTAAATTGGTCTAAGGACGATCAAATAATGCGTATGTACTATTCGGAAGGAGATAAGGGTTTGCTTACTACTCTGTAAAGATGGTTGTATCCACTCAAAAATTTTACTTAAATTAGCCTCAAAATTATTGGATTATTATGCAATATTGAGCTTAAAGACCTTTCGCGTGGTTGCAACCTCAGAACATTTCATGATGTTTTTCATATAATACAGTTGTAAAGTTCGAGTCATTACATTTGCTTAGAGAGTTGGCTTATTTTCTACCATTTGTTTTAAGCCATTGTCAATAAGTTCCGGGTTGAGCTAACTCAATAAAGCAAAATTAAATCGAATCTTCCTTCACTCCACTCGTCCTCGTTTTAAAAAATTTAGATGTTTCTGTTCCTTAGTTCCCCGTATGAGAAAGGAAAGTTTATTCAATTATACAAGCACAATCATGGTGTGGGGGTAAGTTAGGCGGAGAGAAGGCAATGGAGTTAGAGGTGACGAGTGAGGTAGCCCCAAGCGCACATCTCGTCACGAGCGTGTTCGCGCACGCATGTGATTGGTTTGCTATTCTGCGCATCTCTGAGATGATTGGCCGCAATAGAGATAACCGAGGGCATGGAATTGAGATTACCTGAACAAACATTTTCCATCTATTGCCTACTTCGAGTGCTCATCTTAGTCCTTGAACACTTCAACAACTCTATATCCGCCTGAAGTGTTGTTGATTGCATTCAAAAGCCCTTTAGAATCCCCCTTCTTTATGTGGATTGTAAGTAAAGTATCCTTTCGCATTTCTTTATATAGTCTTCCCTCCCTACCTTCCTTCTACTCTGCAATACTTAGTCATAAGGTGCTCTCTAAAATACACCGTCGCATTTACTTATTAAGATAGGTTTACATGAACTAACTAATCGACAGTTTAAGCCGTCTACTCAAGTTATTGTCGATAATCTCCTTCCATTTATGACCGTGTTTTTATAAGACGCTTAGGACTACGGCACGCCTTGGTTCCTTTGTTTCTCAATACTTAATGATAGCAAAATGAGCAACAGCTCTATTCCTTATTTTAATAAACTTAATTTTACTTAATGTCTATGCGCAGTGATTACACATTCCTTCATACAGGTGTCCTCTGATACGTCACAGTAACAAAGCTGCAAGCAAATTTTGGCCCCATGATTAGCACGTCTCTTAGAATTATCCAAGAATACCCAAAAAAAGTGAATTATTTACGATTTTAGACCCAAAATGGATCCCCCAGAAAGCAGTTTGACACTACTACAGAACTCGAGTCAGACGATGGGATCGTCACAACCATCGAATTTCCTCTTCTCGCACTCCTCCCATTGGTACAATGGGATGGCTGATCCTCGAGCACTCAAT